TAGCCTTTATGTAGCAAGCAACGGTTTCATTTCTATGGAAATTGCAGGGATTTCATTCCTTTAACTAACAAACAAAAAGAACTTTTATCATATTCCGTTTTTTTAATCGGGACTCGAGCATAAATTTCAAAATACAGTTATAGCGGGTTTGATATTTTACGGAATCCAATGTCAGCCTTAAATAATGGAATTATATAAAACTGTGAGGCACTTTCGTATTTTTTCTACGTTTGTGAATTTTAATCATTGTCTAATGTCAAAGGATCAAGTGATTTAATAAATAATAGCGGCACAGTTATAGTGCAGTAACAATCTACAGTGGAATTTTTGATATAAAAAACATTGATCGAAAACCTAGTTACAAGTTATGAAATTCAAGTGGTGCAAGGAGAACCTGCTATTTATTAAAATAAGTGCTCATATTCGGGGCGATTAAATACGAATATGTATGAGATGTATATGTTAGTTACTTGATACGCTTTTTTGGTCTAACGTTTGAACAGTTAATGAAAAAGTGACAAAGGGTCAGATTATAACATATTGTGATAATTTCCCTTTCCTTGACTTAAATTTGTTGGTAAATCTGTGTTTAGATTTACACGAAAACGTGAACTCGGCTCGTTTCGTATAGTACGTCTCGAATTTACTCTATCCACATTTTAGCAACCTGCAATAATTTAGATCATTATTTCATTTCTTAGGGGCACATTTTAGCTAAAAATACAATCATCTTTCCGTTTTGCTGCATCTGAACACGAAGTGATCCAGAGGAGGGTCTGATCCGGCGCAACAGGAGTGTGTAAACGGGCTTTAATGCGCAAGTACGTTGATTATCAACAAACGCATTGTTCCACCCGTGTGCTTGCATTCACCACAGTTAATGTAAATATGTAAATAGCGGGGCATTTCACGTCCCATCATTAAAAAATCAAAACACTTTGCACGCCTGATCGATCCGAAAGGCTGCCCTTTTATCAGTGTAACAATGACTACCCCTCCTGAAACGGTGCTCTGGTTTTGCAACAATATCTAACAAAAACCTGCTAATTTATATTTTGCACCGCGTGGAGTATTTCTGCCATTGTTCAAGTTAATGAACACTTTTTCATACCGTCACGCAGAAGTACGGATCAATACTTCTTCAACATACCAGATTTTTCCGTGGCAGCAGCTTTTTACAAATCATGTTTGCCGACAATTATCTAGAACAAATATTGCACCCATTTCCAGTTTTCTGAGGCCATGTCCGGAAATATGGTTATTCGAACAGCAGTAAAACCCTACGTAGTTCACAGCAAGTTACTTTTTGTCCAACATTGGATGGAAATATTTGGCGAAGAGACACTTAAAGAGAATTAAGTTTTCGGTGACAAAGTTCAAGCTCTCTCAGCTTTAATCCTTAATACATATATAATGGTGATCATAATTAAGTATGATAAACGTAAGGTAACCGGAATATTTTGACACGGCGATTGAGCCAATGTTGAAGAAGTCCTCATCCAATTTTTTACATTATTCAGTGGGCAACTTGGTATTGTAATTTCTTTTGTCCTGGCAATTTGAAATAAATGTAAATACAAAGGAACGAATAAATGAAATAAAACTGAATTAACTAACGGAATGAAAATATGAATAATGAAATAAAAGTAAAAGCTATGTATAGAATTGCACCTGGTCTCTCAAGGTTGGAAAACCTTGACCTCTGCCCTTTGTTTAAAAAGTCATAACAAGCTTCAACATTCGGTTACAGTGTTCAAATCAGTGGAAGAGCCCGTCAATACCCCGGTGTGTACTTAGAGCACCCAGGGGTCAACGGGGTCAGAGCGCATGCGCTATGTTGACTACCTAGGCCACCAGGTGTCTTCAGCCTTAATGGGGCCTTTTTTCTCAATATTCCTTCTGTGACGATGTCATGGCGAACGGAGCTTTCTTGCCTTCTTCTATTTCTTCGGCATTCTAATAAAATACACATATAAGAACTACTGGTAAATTTATTACTTTGATGTCAGAGAAAATATTCACACACCCCCCCCCCCCCCCTTTAACCCGCTTTTTGATGATGTGAGGTTAGCTGAAACTGGTAGTTACCTGTTGCAGACAGAAAAAGATTGAAGGAATAATCTTTAGGCTCGAAAGTTGTTTAAAAATTAATTGGATTGTATAGGGCTCAGTAAGCTTGGTATTGTCGTCATGGTGAAGCACACACTGGTTCTGTTTGACAATTTGAGGATTAGAATATTTAAGTGCGCATTTTATCAAAATAACAATAATAATGATAATGATGATTCATTAGATAATTTTTGATAATGTATTTAAGACCCAGCTAGCTGAAATATTTGAATCTGCCTTTATTCCCTTTAAAGCCTTAATCTGGGTATTGTGCAGAAGAGGATAAATGTTCAAATCTCACCCCTGCTGCGTCTGAACTCTATTGCTATCCATGATTTTATGAAGTTCAAATGTTTAATTGGAACAAAATTAAACAACAATGCTTCTAATGAATATACTTTTGACATGAACAACCGAAACATTTACTTAGGTTTTCAACAAATAAATCATTTATTGCAGTTTAAAATGATACAGACCTCTGCAGGACCCGACATTGAAACACGGCGCACTGTGTAATAATAAGGTTACGCAACCTAACTTAGAGAGCGTTTTAGACTTTAAATGCAAGTAAAATCGTTACACTTCTTTAAGCTTTTGTGGCAATGTTGTCGCAAGTTTGTAAAGCGGGGTACTTTGGCACGCTCTTTGTGGACCGCTTCAAAACGATACAAGTCGCATTGTATGCATTTCCTTGTTGATAAAATCAATATTTCTGAGCGCGTTACAATCGTGCTCGCTTACCGAGGAATAACAATCGGGATAAGGGACGCAATGTTTTAAAACACACCTCGTACCACAAAGAGAACGGTGTATTGAATGCGGTGGCTCAGTTGTTCTGTTTGTGTAGGCTTTTCTATAAAAGATTTAAGTTGCTTTTATAATTCAGCAAGAAATGTATGTGTTCCTCTAGAATGCTGCCTGGTGGATCACGGGGAGGGGGTGCCGTTGAGAAAATAGTTAAAACCTCAGATTGACACTAAAGGCTCATTCCCAATGAAAGTGTCGTTCACTTAGATCAATCCAACTCTGTTGAATGAAATATGATTAACAGATAAAGCACGCCTTTTCCTTTTTCTAACGCTAATCCGGAGTAAAGACATTGAGATGGAATAAGTTTTACATTTTCCATTCAGGTTAACGTTTTTTTTTTAATCAAAGGTTTACTTCCAAGATTCACTATGGAGGAGAACCGACGTTGATACTTCCAAACATTTTCAAATTACAGGAATGGATGAATGAATGAATAAATACATAGAAATCTTGAAATAAAAAATTAACAGTTGAACTGAACTTTCCAAATTCTCAAACCACCCAGCAGGGCTCCAATAGCGTCCCGATCGGTTTCACCGCAAACTTCACCGTTGCTATGCGTATCAAATCCCTCTTTCCTCATCAATCATGATTAAATCAGCGTCTCATGGCCAGGTACGACAAGGGTACACGCTTTCACCTTTGTAATACATTTGGAAAGATTAACGGGAGTCTATTTAATGTGACAAATAGTCAACGCGGGCTAACACTGTAAATACTTGACGAGAAAACAATTCAGAAAACCACAATTGTCTCCAGTGGTAGGCAATGATTGATAATCCTTAGGATTGAATTTACATTTGAATCCTAAACCCACAGTCACAGTTACAGATGCTTGCTTACATGATTGAACAATTATTAAGATATTTCTGAAACTAATATGAAATTAATTCTTACTCCGGCGAATGCAAATCGCAAATTTTGCCTCTTTAAAAATCTTTTCAGTTTTATTTTAAAATCAGCCTCATTTTTTATTATTATTATTAACTAAAATCAAAACAAAATCTTATTACCAACTCAAATGTCCTAATGTTTCTCTCAGTGCGTCGTCCTTCACCCGCCCCCCAAGAAAAATACGACCAGCAGTTTGGTTACTCAGAAGGCTCGTGCTCTATAATAATGTCTCTAACGCAAACAAACAGTACTCTGTAACAGTAACGTGGCCACACTGTCCCATCGACAACAACTGTGAGTGAACCAGGCATTATAACATTATAACCTAGGGATAAGATCAATACATTCGCGGAAACGGAGAAAGAAACAAAAGGCTAGTGGCTAATTATGATGGGAACAATCGGACAAATGTAAGTACACAGGTTGAAGGGCTGATATATATATATACTTAGTCCAGACTGCTGTAGTATTTCATATATTTATACCTTAACTGTCAGCTTGTATTATGAGGGTAGTTCAGAAATATACTTGTTTGGGGGCGGTTTCCGTATCGTATTAAGCCACCTAAGCGTATTTATAACAAAATTTAAGTGACTATCGGTGACTGTATGCGTAGTTAACGCATGGCATGTACAATACATGTTTAGGGGCGGTAAGATTTCAGATTTATGAGCTCACAAGTATGCCTAGAACCACCAGCATGTGTTTTAGATGTATCAAGTTTCCACACTGGGGGGAATAAAAGACTACTATTACGTTAATTTATCCCGCATCGTGTGTATAACGGTTGCCAAGCAGCTTTTTTGCCGGCCGTAGGTTTCAAACGTTGACACTGACTTTAAAGACTCCAGATGTGGTGTGTGTTTCGCGTGTTTCTGGACTATAATGAGTAGACCTATCGGCTGACCTAAACCATCCCAATGCTAGTCAATACCAACGACGTGCCGGTATAACTACAATCTTCTGGACACAAAATTCACCAGGCATCTGCCCAAAAGAACCAGAAAATGCGTGAGAGACTACGGGGGGCTATACACCAGGGAAAAAATAGGATGTGGTATATGTTAATGGCTTAGGTGTAGTGAAAAGCTGTTTATAGGTTTGGAGAAAGAAGAAGCCAAAGTTCACCGACTTCTTCCAGAGAAAGAAACAGATTATTCTTTAAACGGCGTTAAACAGGCAGAGAGAATGAGTTTTCCTGTAAGGAGAGAGAAAGGGAGATATACTCGGTCTTGCACGGAATGGAGGGCAGATCCCACGCCGTATGTCATTGTTTTTTAGCTAATTATTATCAAAGTGAGAAATGTACATTTATTTACATGTGATAATGCTTACATTCGATTAACTCTACGGTTATCATATGCACGCATGCATAAGCGATCGAATGCACGCAGACGCGCACACAGTTGCTGCTTCATTTTACATTTAATCACGCACACACACTCACACACACGCTCTCTCTCTCTCTCTCTCTCTTGAAAACACACACACACACACACAAACACACACACAAACACACACGCACACTCGATGGACAATGTGCTGTTCTTTATTTAGTTATTCTAAATCATTTTATTGTATTCCGTGTATTCGGTATTACGCTATATCTGGTCGTCGTCACCCTGACGTCAGAGATCACTGGGCTCACCTCTCACTCCTCCTGTTTCCATATACATGTATAATTAGATTGGACAGTCTCCAGTCAGTTGTGAATCTCCGGGTTGTCGTGATTGGTCTGGCTTCGATTTCCCCGACAATCATATTGAACGGTTCGCAGTTTGTAGTATTACCCTAATCAATATTTCATCGATATTTTGTTATTGAGACTCTGACATTTGACACTAAATGATCAAGGGTTGCCTAGTTTCATGGGCCTAGTGTAGTCTGAAAATTTGTCTTTAGTTACTTTTAGAGAAACATTTTAGTTTACCCATGATAATTTAATTAATTAGATCTGCTACATCTATTTTATGACACCAAAGAAGTGGCGTATGCTTAAGACCAATACTATAACTGCATTTTAACTACTTTTGATTTACCTTAGCTGGAACCGAAGTAGGCCATTTTTATCGAGAAATTTGGTCTAATTTCAGGGCTAAAATCACTTGGTGAAACCAGTCGCTGTATGTATAGGTATATTGTGAATCATTAATTACCTGATATCACTTTACGTTCTCTTGACGTGATTTGAGAAAAAATGACCTATTAATGGGGAAGGTATATACTTCCCGGTTGCCTTTTACACAGTGCTGGATCCGGGTCGGGGGGGGGGGGGGGGGAATGGGGGGTTCAGAAGGATCAGAATAATTTGGCCCCTTCTCTAATCATATACGAAAAATTAGACGAGGACATTTTCATGAGAATGCTTAAGAAACAAGATCGGAAAATTTGTCTGAATTCGTCACTTTTTGCGTATTATATTGAGGGAGAGGAGGAGGATAAGAGGATATCTCCAAATGTAAAAAATCCCCTCTCGCTGATCCGCCATAGTAATGTATATAAATATGCTGGAGATATTGGAGAAAATGGACCGAGGGCTGTGGTGAAATACAATAAAACCGTTAAGAATTACACAATAGATCTGTTGACTTGTGAAGTAATGAGATTTATTTATTTATTCATCTATTTATAATAAAATACTAAGAGGGTTACCACTTTCGGACCTGGCACTAAATAGTTAGTTAAGCTGTTTATTATTATTATTATTATTATTATTATTATTATTATTATTATTCACCATAGCAACATTATATATCGTCCTAAAGTGATGCCATTATCACGTTTCCCTTCTCTCTCCATGGCAGGAAAGTCAACGCTAAACAAATCCGTGACAAACTGGAGATTGAGAAGGAGAAGGAAGAAATGAGGCAGCAGCTGAGGGACCTGTGCCGTAGTGGTGACGCTGTCAGCCTGCACGAGATCCTCATGAAGTCTTACAATGAAGTGGATGCCATGGATAAGGTGAGGGGAGAGAAAGAGGGAGGGAGAGAGGAAAAGAGGAGACAGGGAGGAAGGGAGGGATGGAAGGGATAGAGGAGTAAGGGAGGGAGGGGATGGAGGGAGAGAGTAAATGTATGGTTTAAAAAAGTGTTATATGGTCTGATTATGTGATATTGGATTTGTTAATAGGACAAGGCTTTCTTTTCTTTTGTTTTTTTGTTTTTTTTTTTTGTTTGTTTTTTTTTTTTTTGTTTTGTTTTTTTTTTTCAGTTGTCTGTGGCACAGCACAGAAACAGTCATATAGACCGCTCATGTCCACACTGGTAGAACATCCCACGTCACTGAGTTCACCAGTCTTTTTAAATGTCTGTTTGTTCATTGATTTCACCTTGACATCGGACATACAATCAGACTGAGAACAACATACGGTACACAAAAAGCTACAATCTTGTACTCAGAAAGACGACGGGATCTTCGATCTAAGTTCAGCGTTGCACCTGTAGCTTCCGCGCCCATTTTTCAAGATGATTACATTAAGTAGTGACGACGCCGTCCGAAGCAGAAAATCGAAACACGGTACAATGGTTTAAGATGACTCTATTTCTAAGAATATCCGGTTTCACAGTTTAACCGTGGGATAGTGAAATTTTAATTCGCTCTCTCATTCTCTCCTTTCTGCCAGTTAAACATAATTTTCAAAATTTCGAGTGACAAATGACCCACATTAACTTCAAAAAGTCAAAATTTGAACTTTCAAAATTAAAAAGCATTGATTGCAATCAATCAGGTGGCCCCTCAACATGTGGTTCAAACAATAACGTCATGGCCATCCTGAGGAAAAGTTGCGCCTACCCAACCGAGTATTGGCCTACCCAACCCTCTACTCTTTAGGTTGTCTAACCAGTGTGTACAAAATACACATTTAACGATCTCAGCTTTGTAAAGGAAAGCTAATTTGGCCATTGTGGTACATTGTTTTTCAAGTTAAAGTTAATAATCGAAAGCAATTAGCGCTAATAGCGTCATACAGGACTTCAAGTGCAATCAGAGGGAAAGTTTCCTATATATCAGTCCTACGTAACCTTTGTCAAAACCGCTTGACGGTGAGGAGTGAAGTACTTGAGTAGGTGTAGCTCTGATTTAAACTGTTGTTTGAAGAACTATTGGTATTTTTGATAATTTGAGAGCAAAATACAGAGTCCAGTTTCACCAACGCTGGATACTATCCACCAGAAACATGGGCGGATCCAGAGCTATTTACTGACAGTCTTCCAAATTATTTATCTATGTTAATTCATCCTCCAATTTTGACCGTCTTCCAACAGAAAAAATTAGATACCCGTCAATGTAAACTTGAAAATCTGACCGTCTTCCTGAAGACCCAGAAGGCGGCCTAAATCCGCCCCTGAGAAAATAAAATGATTGTCCTGTGAATAAAGTAATGTACGTCTCACAAACACCGGATACTGTTTGTCTCTGATATTGCTATCCAGTGGTTTAAAATTGCTGCTGTCCTTGCGATAACTGTTCAGAGCGTAGCCACTTTATTTACTTACTGGACAGTGTCGCTGGTCACAGAAGAAAAATATTATAAATTAAACAGAGCTCCGTAACTCGAAAACATCGCGCATTGCGACCGAGCGCAAGAGTCTCGATTCCAATATGGGGCGAGCATGGGCGAGTTATGGAATCGAGACGCTTGCGCTCGGTTGCAATGCGCGATGCTTTCGAGTTTCGGTTCTTAGATCTGTGATAATTTGGTGTTAGAGGGACGCTGCCACTGGACCCACCTAAGGAAATTAATGGAAGTGAAATTATTATTTTTCCAGAGTGGACTGACACCGCTGGTGTGTGCAATCATCGCCCGTCACCCTACCGTGGTTACTGAGCTATTGCTGGGGTATGCCAACCCGAATATCAGTACACCGGTATGTAAAACTGACTAAATAAATAAATAAATAAATAAATAAATAAAACTGAATATCCTCATTTCATATTTGGTGTGTATTGGCGTCATGTTCTCCGAAATCTACGTTGTCAATATCATTAGTATGGCATTATAGCCACTGTTAAGTGTGTCGTGTAAGTATTCGTAACATATTTGATATGATTTTATGAAAGAAGTACTACAGATCTTTTTTTGGTCCTTCTTTTTTTGAAGTAGACTAAATTTTGAAATAAACGGTCAGATCAACTTTTGATTTGAAGCTATTTAGTGAAACCGTGCCCAGGTGTAAATTTTAAAACTCTTTATTATTATTATTATTATTATTATTATTATTATTATTATTAAACCGACTGCTTCACGACTTCCAGAGGACTGGTATGTCATCACTTCACTACGCCGCGCGCTGGGGTGATGCACAGGTGCTGCACGAGCTGATCAGAGCTAGAGGATGGATAGACGCCGGGGACAGGGTACTGAAATTTTACTATTTGTATTACACCTTAAATCAAATTTATTAATTATATCGCTTCATAACAATTATTATTAAGTGTCATCCATTATTATGTCACATTACTGTCAATTATTATGTCACATATTAAAATTGGTCCATTTTTGGTTTATTACGTAAATAAACATTCAATGTATCGACATCTTTGGCGAAATCGACCCGAATTTTTTAATTAATGCAATACTCCTTAACTCTGATTATTTTCAGGACGAGTGGACGCCACTTCACCACTGCAGTGTCAATGACCACTTCGCCGCCGCCGACCTGCTGACCTTTATGTTGGCCGACGTCCACATCCGGGATACGGTAAGACATGACTGGGGTGTGGCTAAAGGGACTAATGGGCGGGACACTTTCGTGCTCCGCCCCTGTTTATGTAAATCAATTCATTAACCAATCAGTAAGTCAGTTTAAACAGTTAAAAAAAATCAAACAGCCAGTCAATCAATATGGAAGTAAACCAATCAGTCGAAAAATTAGTCAATTTATTAACCAAGCAATCGAATAATTCATTTATTGATTAATCAACCAAGTAATCGATATTTTCATCTGTCTGTCTACTAGCCAGCCGTCAGTACTTACTGGTAAATAAATTAAAAAGTCATCATTCCTTTTGTTTCATAGCATAATCGTACTGCACTCGAGTTGGCTCAGTCAGCTAAGATGAAGCGGTTAATAGAAAGGATGGCGAATGTACCCAAGGACTTCCTGAAAAAGTAAGTTTATAAGATTTGACACTTTGTGAGGCTGTCATCATGCATGATTATTGGTATGACTCTCTATGGCGGATCTTCGATTTTGTTAACTGCGGTGGGAAATAAAGACAGAAAAATATAAAACGAAATACGCTGTCAAACCCACTGTTACGCAGTATAATGGACGCATGGGTTTTATGTTGCTTTTTATCTGGAAAGTTGATGTTTCGGTCTACTCGTTATACGTTTATTTAGAGGGATGCGCGAGTCCGTCATTTCGACCCTCTCTGTCTCTCTCTCTCTCTCTCTCTCTCTCTCTTAAGCAAACTAATTACACGTTTTTTTTTTTTTTGTTTTTTTTTTTTTTTTTTTTTGCTCAAGTGATAAGAAAATACCCTTGAATTTTTCAACTTTCAATACGTTTCAGGTCTTGCCAAACGCACACCATGAAATTATCAGATAAAGCAGGTTCCGTCGACTTTCGGTGTGGGGTAGTGCTGGAGATGTCTGCCGAGGTCGTGAAGTCAGAAATACCCGTAAGTTGCCGAAGGACAACGCCCGAATGTTTCCGAATGATCTATCCGGAAAATGACGAATCTTTCCTTAATGATGTCATTGAGTTTTACCCTCGGAGAGTGACTTTCAAGCGCCCCGTGACGGTTTTAGTGGACTATGATATAATTATCCAATCAAAGGAAGACATTGTGGTCACGTGTGCAAGCAAGGTTGTTCCAGAATTTAGTCTGACATCACAGGTAAATTCCAGTTCAAAAAGTTTTGATTTGTTTTTATTCAGCGAATGAAAAAATTGCGCACTAAATAGCAGAAAAATTGGAGCTTTTGGTGAAATTACTGTATTCGTATGTTAAAATGCTATAAATGCTGAAAACATCCCATGCTTTCTTTAAAATCTATTTCGTGTTTTCCTTACAAATGCTGCACATGTTCATCTTAATTCCTTGTGCTGTTGCAGGGCAAATCCACCACGGTGAGTTTCGAAACCAAAAAACTTGGGCGAGTGAAAATATTAAAAATGAAATTATCGGATTACTATGAGTCAGCCAGTCAGTCGACTTCAGTGGTCGACTTTGAAAGTTTAAGAAGTGAACAACAGAGCCGTGCCACCATATTGTCCACGTGGGATGAAACCGAGGCTGATGAAGTGGAAACGAGACCAAAGTCGACAGCAGCCGACACTGAGAGCGACGCCATAGGTCAAAAGCAAGAGAAAAAGGAGTCTGATAAACTCAGAAATTCACACGAAAAGTACACGGAGCAAGTTTTAGTCTGTGATGAAAGTAACAATGAATCCAAACGCGTCGAAAAAACAAACGCTGAAAGTTTTTATGACCATAAAGGCGCGCAGGAAATTAGGTCAATTGACACGAGGAATAACGACAAAGACTTAAGTGAATCTCAAAATCCGGAGACATTGGAAAGGTCTCCCCAAATCGCTGAACCGGAAGATAATGGAAGACAAAGTCCTTTGAGCCAGAGCTCATTCTTGGTTGTGGATGAAAAACTTGAGGACGAAAAACTTGACACAACGTCACAAAAAAGCCGGCAAAGTTCTCTTAAAAGCGTCCGCGAAGAAATCTCCGTCGGACGTGCACCCGAAGAGAGAGAACATAGTCAAAAAGTTGACAGTGAAAAAATTGAGGACAAAAGTTTTAGCACATCTCCACAACAAAGCCGGCAAAGTTCTTTCCAAAGCGTCCGCGAAGAAATCTCAGTCGACCGTACACCCGAAGAGAGAGAACTTTGTCAAAAAGTTGACAGTGAAAACGACAGCGAAATCCCAGAAGAAATCGATGACAACAAGAGCACTTCCTCTCCCAGTGTGTTACCGAGCGAACTATTCAGCGACAGTGAACAGAGTGTCACCAACACGGCAGAGATACAGGAAAATATAAACGATATCCACAAAGAACTCGCGGAAATTGAGGAACAGTTGGAAGGGGACGCATATATCTATACGTGAACATTCAAATGAATCCGAAGGTTTGTTGGTCCGAAGGTTCATTGGACCGAAAAATCGTATTCGCCCGCATCTGATGAACTGTACTTCGTTGCCAGTACGATTTTGTCCTACACTTTATTCATGCATTAATTTGGACTATGGAACTTTTGGACCCATTAACTTTCGGACTGTTACTACGGCCCCCCTTTCAACGTATATGATCAGACAGGGAGTGGCATTTGAGGAAGCGGGAAAAATACTATTTTTTTAATAGAGAATTTTATGTTTATAGAGAATTTTATGTTTTAAAACGTTACAGGTCATTCCATAGGGGGCTACATTAATTTAAAATCTAACAGCTGCATGATGACGAGTAGAAAGAAACAGGGAAGTAATACCTGAATACAATGTTTTAAATATAAGGATTTGCATGAAGCACCACAGTATGAAGTACGCGGCCATCAAATCAGCTTAAAACTGCATACTACACGGTAGCAGGAACTACATGTATATGAATTATAAGATTATTTATATGATATATTATATGAATAATAATTGAACCAAGTTTTATAAACAAAACGTTGAACTTCACATGAACTTTGGTGCTGAATATACGCATGCTTTAATAAATGTTGAAAACATTAATAAGAATAATAATAATGATAATGATGATGATGATGTTTATTGATACGAGTATATTTGTTGTAAAGACTATAAGGTAGCTAACGTGGTATTTTTGTTATACAATAAAAGAAAATAATGTATAAATTACAAGCTATATCTGAGTTTCTCAAGAATATGACTACATCCTCGTGAGCCACGTATTACTCGTACTTGTTGACTCAATACAATGATGAAATAAATATAATAATATATATATCATTTATTAAAAAGGCATCTATTGCGTTGTAAATTGAATCACAATCACTGATTAAATATCAGCATCCTAGATCTACAACATCCCTCATAAGATGAACGTTAAAAGTTTAGTTTGGGTCACTGGAATGGGGCAAAATATTATTTATAAGTCTGCTTACAGCATTCTTGAGCACTGACTTCCGTTATTATTGTCCATATTCCCCGCAGGCTCAGTGCCTATACTTACGGATAAAAATGCACAAAGAGAAGCAACTGAAGTCAAGATGTTTATTTCTTTCTTAATCTTCACCCCCCCCCCTTACTGTGCACGTCCATTTCCCTACGATTTTACCCGTTGTTATTTCAAATTAATTAAATGCCAGTCAACAATCTCAATTTCTGATGTTGTTTTTTTTTCTGATTACGTGCAAATTGAACTAATAAATATTAATATAAAGGGTGAAAAATTAAAAATAATACGAGGAGGAATCAATGAATTTATTATCAACATGCATGGTGCTAAACATTAGTACAAAAGCTAAAAAGATTCCAATGGAATGATACAAATAAATCAAGTTATTGATACCCATGTATATTATCAAGATTGTATGGGTTCTTTTAACATCGAGGTAAATCTTTTGGTCTGATAAGCGTCCAAATACATTAGTTTTCATGAAAGTGCAACAGTTTAATCAAAATCTTACCATCTAGTCCGACCGAAAACTGTAACAAACTATTCGAATGTTATTTTCTACCTACTTGTTTTTTTTTCTTTTTGTTTTGTTTTGTTTGTTTTCTTTTTTAATAAAAAATCAAAGTGCTAGGGCTGCAGTAAATATAATGTAATAACGTAATATGAAAGAAATAGCACAATATTTGTTCTACTCAACACCTAACTTCAGAAAACTCTATGTACTCTTTGAAATACTCAAGAATATATTCCTTTGTCAGTTGATATCGCTCTAAAGAATGCTGATGTTGGCCATATTTGTTTTGTGGATTGTTTTTGATGTAAGCCGTCATGATGGCTTCTCCTTCTGCGGTTAATTCCAGTCCGAAGCGGTCGTAGATTCTCTTCACGACATTCAAGGGGTCTGCGACAATATCACTATAGGCAATATCACAGAAGCGGTGTTCTTCTTCGGGATGCGACTTTCTGAATGCCATCATGTTGAACCCGCTGTGGAACAGTGGGATAGATACCATATTCTCACCGAGCTTTTTCAAGTCCAGGTTCACCGGATCGTATCCAAGCCCTTTGAACGACTCCGCGATTGAGCAAAGAGAAGCAATGGCTTCGCAAGGGTCGCGGTAAGTGTGGATGAAGGTGGCGTCGGGATACACTTTCAAAATGGCGGCCAGATAGAGACTGTGGGTTGACTCTTTGAAAACTAGTTGCTTGTTAATGTCATCTGGAACATAAAAATTGATAATGGTTTTGTTGGCTGTGTACACTTTGAAGATTACAGCATATGTCAATGAGCAAAACCAAGCCAAAGCTTTACGATTTAACAATTTGTTTCGGTTTCCTGATGAAGTATATGGGATATAAACGAAATATCGGAGCTCATATCATTTTCTGCACTTGCACTTGACTCGACTCGTTGTTAAATTTATCAATCTGTACACGTGTCTGGTACGAGAAGTACACCTCAACATAGAGGAACCCTCGCTTACTGTATGTCCGTCACACTTGAACCCGTCCCAGGAAGTGGAGCCTGGGCTCATATTTACACTTGATAACAATTATGATGAACTTCAAAACGTATCAAACCATGCCAACCACTACTACCTCACTGAAACACAAACTTAAAGGGATAACAACACTTCGTTTTGGTGAAGAAATGTTTTTTCCTGGGCTAAAATACGATTTTCCATGCATACTTTTATGTATCAACGGTAAATAAATCCATTCCAACAGTCAAAGTTAGACCATGTTTTTTAAAGTTTGTTGTTTTTTTGTAATAATCTTTTATGACATTTTTTGTAATAACCTTTTAAAAGATTATTACGCAGGTAGCCATCTTTGAAGGTCCACGTGGTATGATGGCAAGCACAGATTCCAGAATAATTTTGATAACCGCTGTTTTGTTGGTAAAATGGAATCATACAGTACATCTATGAGTTGTTTACAATGTATTAATTTATTGTGATATATGAATCTCATACGACCAGTTGTTATATATATCCCTTTTACCAACAGGCAGATATCTGAATCTATTGAAAACATACCCGAACCCCGGGAGAGGAGAATGAGCTGAATCTGCAATTTATGAAAACGGTACGCGTCTTCCTTTTCTTCCTCGGTCAGTGAATTGAGCCAGGCTAGATACTCTTCTGGGTGGTTGGTCAACAAAGTATTCGCCTTGAATATCCCACAATTGTCCATCAGACGGAAACACTCGTAGGGGTTGTCTGCCACGATATTATGCATGGCCTTGACCTTTGGGACTGCCTCGTACATCTCGGCTGGAATAAAATTAATGTAGATATGCTTAAGGTTGAACGTAGAAAAAGTTGGTGTCCTCATTATTCTTTTTTATCCATCTGTAAGTTGTACATGTGTTGTAACTAAGGCATGCATCACTACTAACGTTCTTTAACAAAAACAGGTGAATAAAATAAAATCGATATTTTGGGTATTTTCAATGATAATTACAAGTCTGTGTTCGTCTAGATGTTCTCGCAAAAAAATGGAAACTAAATCCTATGCAATACACATTTGTCCTATTCATTAGTCACTGAAATATAAACTGAAGCCAGCAACTTTAAAGTGGGGATATTTTGCCTACAACGTATCTTTTTATTTGACCCAACTTAAGAAATGACACATACTGGTAATCTAGATAGGTCATATTTTGAGTGCCGACATTTGTCCGTCCAAAAGTGCCATTATTTTGAACCTCTGGACCCACCCCCTCTTGCCAACATATATATTATGAAACCTTACTTAAGGCTTTGCGTTCTGCCTCCACGCGGGGATCCTCCCTTGCTGTGGGTTTTTCTACCACCGGATGCATCGTCTCGTAGTACCTGGGGGAGGTATTGTTGGGATCCTGATACAGAAGATTCAGCAGGAAAGTCGTCCCAGTGCGGCATGGTCCGATGATGAAAATAGGTCTATTTATTGGACACTACGAAGACAAAAGAAAATCTTCATGGTAATATTGTTCGTAAAATATTTAAGACATTGAATAAAGGACAACGTTCCGATTTGAGAGGAATGACAGTCCTAGGAATGTACATTAAGTCGGGGTCTTATATTGTAAGTTCAAGTTACGGTTAGTCGGAGAATTGGGATTAGTGTATGGGACGAATGTCACCTGTACAAAGTAATGGGGAACCGACTACGGTTCCTAGCGGACTACCATTCCTGTCACACCGACGCGGTAGGCTTACTGCCTCGGCCGACTTCTGTTTTCTTTCACAAAAAGCACTCTTAGGCTCTTGTTCTGTGTTTATATCGCCATCAAGTAATGATCTGAATCAAAAAGGGCAACAGTGCGGTTTTGAAAAAAAAACTGCTTTCATCAAAGTAGTATTTATCTTATAGCAATGAAGAACAGCTTCTTGCGTATTTAACAGTTATATATATTTTATACTTTTTTTATATATTTTACTGTTGTATACATTTTACATTTAACATTTCCTGCCCAATTAAATTGGTTGTGTCTTAAAATGAAAACCTTTATCTTACGCAAATATTGCTTTTTATCTCGCATGCAGGTTCCCTCTTTAGAGAAGATAGGAGGCCTGTGAGTAATCGATCAATATCCCATGCGATCAATATCCCATGAATTAAGTAGCCTAAAAGCTATACTGAAATACGCCCAAAGGTTACTGCCTGCATATTATTTGAAGCATGTCTTTTTTCAGGCTGGGTCGAACCGACATTCGGGTTAATACGAAAAAAGCTTGTTAAAGTAAAGCGTGTTCCCAGTAAAATTGGGCCGATCCAGAATATAGCCTACGACTTCATATAGGACCCTATGGGACGTCCTAAAGGACCGTTCTATGGGACAAATATGCCCTATGAGGCACTACAGAATTTCGGGCCAATTTCCTATAGAGTCCTATTGGAAATTTATATCAGAGTATCTAGCATTTTCTTTGCATGGGAAAAGTTCCGAGTTTGACTGTTCATATCTTAATGCCTCCTAATTCAATTACACGCTGCATTTGTCACCCAAGTTAAATACCTTAGATACGTCAACGAGAGGCAGTTTCCCGGCAATGGCCAGCCGGTTCTGGAGGACCTCTGTCCATCTAGTTTCGATGATCATTCGCCCCGCCATGGTCAAATCTTCGTCCTCGCGGTAACATTTCAGTAACGTGGCCCAGCCCTTGTACCACCATTTCCCGGTGAGGTTGTCGGACAGTAGGCGGCTACGGTCCTCGGGAGAGAGTGTGGCCAGCAGGCTTTCCTCTGTGAGAGGACATCCGCTCTTTGGGTCCATGTTTGTTAGATTCATGCCTGTAGGTTACGAGCATTGATAAGGGGTGCATATGGACGAGTGAAAGATTACATTGCTGAATCACATCTTCTTACGCTCTCTGCTTAACAGTAACAGTATTTATCTTGAGTTTAAAAACGAAAGAAATATCGAATGTTTGTCTTCAACATTCTAAGACATTTACGCGGAAAGGCTAGATTATATGTATGACGTAAATCAGCTTAAGATGATGTAATTTCCTCCTGAATCGCTGCGTCCATCGCGGTAGTTGTGACGCGGGTCATCTGCGAGACTTGTCTGATCGCGGTTGATGACGTAGCTGTTGCTGATATCGCTGGCACAGTTTACCGACATATTTACATGTAGGGCACTGCACGTATCAAGAATGAAAGGGGGGGGGGGCACGCTCCGTCGTTATCTTGATTTGACGAACCTTAAATACCACACCAAACCTCCGAGTCTCACAAAATTATAAATAAGAATAAGAAGAAAAAAGACCAAATCGGGCCATCACTTTTACAGAAATTTTATAATATAAACAGTTGCAGCATATGCCAGTCAAAGGAAAAAAACGCCAACTCTGCGATAAAGATGAGAAATATACATCTGTAACAAGTAGGGGTATCGACGCACAAATCTAGCGAATTTTCATACACGTTGAAGGTTTCATTTCACCTCGAAGAAGAATGAAAACATATAAACTTTTCTCTTCTTTACTATAGAAATTATTATGAAAGTGAAAGTGCAAAAGTGCGACAGTATTATCAAATTTTAACATTTTGTCAAAAAAAGGAACAAACTGTTCTAATGTTACTATCTACGTGTCTGATTAGAGTGCTAGAACTATAGTTTTAAAATTGTTAAAACAATGTAATAATGCTAAAATGAAGTAGCATTATATTCGACCTTCTCAACATCGAACTTCAGAAAACTCTATGTATTCATTAAAATAATCAAGAATATATTCTTTTGTCAGTTGATATCTCTCCAAAGAATGGTGATGTCGGCCATATTTGTTCTGTGGATTGTCTTTGATGTAAGCCGCCATTATGGCTTCTCCTTCTGCGGTTAATTCCAACCCGAAGCGGTCGTAGATTCTCTTCACGACATTCAAGGGGTCTTTGACAATATCACTATAGGCAATATCACAGAAGCGGTGTTCTTCTTCTGGGTGTGACTTTCTGAATGCCATCATGTTCAACCCACTGTGGAACAGTGGAATAGCCACCATATTCTCCCCGATCTTTTTCAAGTCAAGGCTCGCTGGATCGTATGCAAGACCTTTGTACGTCGCAGCCATCGAGCAGAGAGAAGCGATAGTTTCGCAGGGGTCGCGGTAGGTGTGGATGAAGGTGGCGTCCGGATACACTTTCAAAATGGCGTCCAGATAGAGGCTGTGGGTTGACTCTTTAAAAACTAGTTGCTTGTTGGTGTCATCTGGAAAATAGATTATTATTTTTTCAAATTGATAATGGGATGGCTTTAATGGCTGTATACACTTTGAAGATTATATGCCAATGAGGAGTCAATGAGCAGAACCAAGCCAAAGAGTGTCGAAAGAAAAGATTTGTTTCGATTTCCTGAACAAATCTATGGTATATAGACTAAATATCGGGCCTCATATCACTTTCTTTACGTGTACTTGATTGTCCAAATATCTCTACCAGGGGGTCTTGTGGAATATTTATAAAACTGTGCACGTGTCTAGTATGAGGATTCGACCACAACACAGACGACCCCTTGCTTACTACCTGTCAAACCTCATCTACATTGTAGTACCAAGAATTCAGTCTCGACTATTTATCTATTACAATTGATAACAGTTGTTGTGAATTGCAAAAACGAATTACTTAAATAAAATCCGGAACTAATTCCACCACCCTATTACTATCTAATTTTTATGTCCATCAAAATTTAACCTTTATGCTGACTTTGATAAATCTCTCCGCTGTTCAACTAAAAACATTGTTCTTTGGAAGTTTACTGACTAAACTTTGGCTAATGAAATTACAGTTATTATTCACCCAATCAATGACCTAAGCTGCCATAATATTTGAATGGCACAAAGTATGAAGTTAAAAAACTGTTAAATCAGTAAAGGAATTGCCTAACCGGTTTATTTGAAAAGACAATGGCCAAAGTCAACACATAACTCAATTTGGAAAAAAATAATGAAAATTAAAGAATTTTGTGGTGAGGGGATACTGCAAAAGTGCTCAAAGACAAGTCGATAAACATCAGGCATATTTCTGAATCTATTGAAAACATACCCGAACCCCTCGCGAGGAGAATGAGTTGAATCTGCAATTTATGAAAACGGTAGGCGTCTTCTTTTTCTTCCTCACTCAGCGAGCTGAGCCAGGCCAGGTACTCTTCTGGGTTATTGGCCAAGAAAGTATTCGCCTTGAATATCCCGCAGTTGTCCATCAGACGGTAGCACTCGTAGGGGTTGTCTGCCACGATATTATGCATGACCTTGACCTTTGGGACTGCCTCGTACATCTGGGCTGGAATAAAAATGTGCATGTTCTTAAAATGGAATGTAGACAAATTGATTGCTTATTCGTTTTTATCCATCTATGTATAGTTCATGTATTGTAACTGAGGTCACTGTGTCACCGCTAATGTGTTTTATTATTATTCTTTATTTCTTTCTTTTATGAACAGGTGAATAAATTAAAAACGATATTTTGGATAGTAATTTCAGATCTGTGTTCGTTAAATTGTTATCGCAATTTTTCAGTAATAGACAAGTAAACAGTGATTAAATATGGAAATGTTGTTCACTGAAGAAGACATGTACTTTACTCTATATACATGTATGCTGTGCGCATCAAACCTTTATACAGCAATTTCCCTTTTTCACCAAGTCAAACTTAAGTCAATTGATTTAGTCAGTAACGTGTGCATTCATTGGTCTTTAAATTAAATTACATATAGGCGAAAATGGAAGAAATATAGGATACAATATGTGCAATGTATTTTTTCTTTTCCTTAAGTGAATAAAATATACGCTGTACAGTCAGCAACTTTCAAAGTGGGAATCCTCCTGTAACAACGTGAACATTTAACCCTCTTTTTCGACCCAACTTGAGAAAGGGCATGGAATCTATATAGGTTTTTTTTTACCAAAAGTGCCGTTTTTAAAAACCTCGAACCACCCCCCCTAACCCCTCGCCTTATACATGTACAATGAAACCGTACTTAAGGCTTTGCGTTCCGCCTCCACGCGGGGATCCTCCCTTTCTATCAGTATGGGTGTTTCTACCACCGGATGCATCGTCTCGTAGTACCTGGGGGAGGTATTGTTGGGATCCTGATACAGAAGATTCAGCAGGAAGGTCGTCCCGGTGCGGCATGGTCCGATGATGAAAATAGGTCTCTGTATTGGACACTACGAAGACAAAAGAAAATTGTCATAGTAGGCCTAATATTGCTCGTAAAATATTTTAAATTTAGAACAAAAGACGACTGTATACTATGTACGGTCCTAACACAATACTGCCTCGACAGTATTCGTTTTCTTCCACGAAAGCACCCTAAGTTTCTTGTTCTGTGTTTATTTCACCATTATGAAATTATTCGACTCAGAAAAGGAAACTTTATAGTTTTGAAATAAACTACTTTTCTCAAAGCGATATTTATGTTATACCAATAAAGAACAGTATGAGTGCGACAGTCTACACGAAATGTTCCTGTCACAACAACCCCCCACCCCCTCCCAACCAGGGTAAATAAGCGGAAAGTCCGTGAATCAGAGAGTCTTCTCTCCGTTAGATTCATAGAGGTCAGGATCAGCGTGATGTAATTGTGTCAAACTTTAGGCCGAGGCCTATTTGTACACACAAATGGATCGGACCTGTATCTCAGGCCACTCTCTCTCGTATCGGTACACGCATATCTCATCGGTATATTATGTTTGGTTTGACGGCAATCTTTAAAGGTACATACGAACCGAGCAACGGTGGAGCGTGGATTCTCAGTAACACATGTAAACCGTTTCTACTAGTTTCTTAAACGACTCAAATAAATTCGACATGCCAAGGGATAAACTAAATAGATCACTCGATCAGCCATAAAAGACCTTTAGACTGATCCTTTCTTTAAATTTTTGGTCGGAAATGTAACCTACTTTCGTGACCTTCTTTTCTGCCCCATTGACATACAGCATCATGGCCAGAAATGTGCAGCATTCACGCGATACGCGAGGGCGCTACAGTGGGGCTTCACGTGGCTCAACTAACCAATCAGAGCACAAGAATGGCATCGCACACAGACTCTGTGATAAGTGCGCAGCCCATTGTCAAGTAGTGTTAGTTCATGGTAACAAGCGTCTGATATGTGCAGAGAAGTTTATTATTATAATATATATCGTTCTTATTGTTACATTATTAAATCTAACTCTGTATGTAAGTAGTAACTATACTGTACCAAGTCAGGTACTGATGATGTGCAGAGGTCATATATTCCAGAATAAGCCATTACCACTGATTTATAACTTTTATTTTTGTTTAATATGTTATTCATGAAAGAGTTTATGAAATATTTTTTTAATTTGTTAAATCGTGATCTTATTCTTTTTGCATTCAAATAATTGAATACTGTGGGTAAAATTGGTCTTCCACTTCTTATTTGCATTTTTCCTTTACTAAAAGATTATTTTGGAACAGTTGCAGCATTAAAAATTTAAATAAATAGCAATCTGAAAGAAGAATTTTGCATAATTATTAAATGATGATAGGATTTTTGGATTAAGAGATTAGTTAAATACTGAGTAGTGATATTGTCAGTCAATTTATGTAGAATCTGATAATATGATTGAAAATACTGATTGAATTCTTGGCCTTGCACTGGGCAGTTTTACATTTATGCCAAGTGCTCTTTTTGGACTCCATTGTACATTGCCATGAAAGTTTTTTATCAGACTCTGTATGGTACTGCTATCTGCTGGTGCTATCGGCAACGAATTAATTTGCCTTTGTTTCTGAGTGAATCTACCGTCTAAAATCACTATTACTGAAAATATTTGCTTTTTGCTGAGGGTACGCTAGGCAATATACGGCAAACTTCTTAGTACGTGTGTACAACAGAATTTTTTTTAAAATCCTAGCGATATTTGGTCAGGAGTTGCTTGAAGCATAGCACAGCGTAGCTGTCTATCGGCATCAGGCCGGTAGTTTGTCAATTCTCTCGAATTACCCAAGAATCGCGAACCCATCATTTTCCTATGGTAATCTAGCAACTCATTCAAAATGTACGCATGCGCAGTGGGCTAGGCGTGACGTCGTGCAGTGCATTTCTGGGGATGAGAATGCTAGCAGAAAAATCTGTTGAAACATCATTTTTGGGTAAAACTAAACAATGCCTTTTGGTAATTCTCTTAGTTATACTACTTGAAACTATATGTTGGCATTTGGATGGTTTGTATGACAAAAAAATGACTTTGTATGGATCTTTAAAATAGATTTAACTTTTATCTAACGCAAACATTGCTTTTTTATCTCGCATGCAGCAGTAAGTGCCCTCGTTATGTCTGTAATCGTGAATTAAGTAGCCTTACAGCTATACTGAAATACGTTCACAGGTTACTGCCTGCATATTATTTGACGTTTGTCTTTTCAGGCTAGGCCAAACCGACATTTAGGTTAATACGAAAAAAGCTTTTTAAAGTGAAGCGTGTTTCAAGTAAAATTTGGCTGATCCGAAATTTACCTATACGACAACATATTGGGGCCTATAGGGTGTCCTACAGGGCCGTCCTATAGGACTAATATGTCCTTTGAGACCCTATAGGTTTTCGGGCCAATTTCTTATAGAGTCCTATTGAAAATTTATGTAAGGGTGTCTAACATTTTTTATTTGCATTCTGAGTTAACTCTTCACATCTTAATGCCCCCTAATTCAATTACACGTTGCATTTGTCACTCGAGTTAAATACCTTAGATACGTCAACGAGAGGCAGTTTCCTAGCAATGGCCAGTCGGTTCTGGAGGACCTCTGTCCATCTAGTTTCGATGATCATTCGCCCCGCCATGGTCAAATCTTCGTCCTCGCGGTAACATTTCAGCAACGTGGCCCAGCCCTTGTACCACCATTTCCCGGTGAGGTTGTCGGACAGCAGGCGGCTACGGTCCTCGGGGGAGAGTTTGGCCAACAGGCTTTCCTCTGTTAGAGGACAACCGCTCTTTGGGTCCATGTTCATTTGGTTCAGGCCTGGAGGGCACGAGCATGGATAAGGGTGCGTATGGACGAGTGGAAGAATTTTGCTGAATCACATTCACCGCTTTTCACATAACAGTGGCAGTATTTACCGTGAGTTTAAAAGCAAAAAAAGGTCAAATGTTTGTCTTCAACATTCTAAAACATTTATATGGTATATCATGTGGTTAGATTATATGTATGCTCAGTTTAGATGGTGTAATTTTTTCCCGTCTGCTCCATTGTATTTCTGAATCGTTCCAGCTTTAAGACTCGTGTGATCGCTGTTGATGACGTCGCTGATACCGATATCGCTGACACAGTTAACCGGCGGATCTACATGTAGGGCACTGTACGTATTGAGAAGTGGAGGTAGGGAGTGGGCACGCTCGGTCGTTATTTTGATTGCTTGGTGAAACTTAAATTCACTTATGTAAGCGACGAACCTTTTAACACCACACAAGACCTCCAAGACCCACAAAATTATAAATAAAAATAAGAAAAAGCCATCACTTTTATAGTAATTTAATAAAATGACCACATGCAGCATATGACAGCCAAAGAAACAAAAATACCACCTATGCGATAAAAATGCGAAGTATACATCTGTTACAAATAGAGGCACGTCTGGTTAGAAAAATACTCGTTTCCCCCAGGTTTAAGGCTACAGTGTGCGACTTGTCAGCTACTGAGTCATGACAATCTGTAAGCTGGCAGTCTACATCTGGCGCACGCGCAGTCCGCTTATATGTAGAATAGTTCTCGAGAATAGACTATGACCTCAGCACGTGGACGTGAATTCCATATAAGGTTATCGGTTGATGATTTACGGTAAATACAAGTTATTTATTTCAAAAAATTAAATTAAAAAAAAAAAACACCCATATTTTGATTAAGCTGCACTTCAATGAGATGACGCCATCCTTGTTCTGAGAACTGATGAAATGTTAACAGGCCTTTACAATCTAGTGACTACGGAAAAAAAACTTGAAAATTTCCTCGGTCTTGAAAATTTCGTCGGAAAACGATTTTTCGCTGACGTAATTTTTTCACTTTGAAAATTTCGTCGAACTTGAAAATGAGCCTCTCGACAAATTTTGAAAAGTTCGTCACCTAATATGACCACGTTGTCCAGCTCAAACATGAAGGTAATGCGTCAATTGATTCAAGACAATAATACGATCAGGATATCATTGACGATAACACTCTCAATGGAAGATAAGAACAATAGTGCACCCCTGCGAGCGGCTACTTACAATATAGAAAATTCTGTTCGCGTAAGATCATCAGCGGGAGATCTTTTGCGATCCGAGCGACACGAAAAGGCAATGTTCATATCTTCATCGTGAGATCGTTCACGATGTAAGTAACAATAAAATGCATATTTTATTCATATTAGTTCAAGGGACTTAGGAACCTCGTTCGCGGAAGATCGTCAGCGGGAGATCATTATTTTAAACCCTTCCCCAATTTGAATTTTTTAAATAATATATATTTTTCATTTTATCTTTAATAACCCCCTTCCCCGCTCACGGCATTTGGAAAAGTTGAACTCCCTTAGTACAGAAAGTTCTCGAGTATCGAGTTTGAACATAGCACGCGGCCGTGACTTCCATATAAGGCTATTGGTTTATGACGTTCGGTGAATACAAGTTTATTTTCTAATAAGAACAATCAAAAGACACAAACACCCATATCTTGATAAGGCTGCATTTCAATCAGATGACGATAACTTTGTTATGAGAACTGATGTAAAGATAACAGGCCTTTATAATCTAGTGACTTTGTCATACCTTGATGGACAAGGAACGAACGTCTAGTGACAGTCAGCTGAGATTTCAGTGGCATTGATTTACATTATAAGGTGAGACACCTTCACAACTTTTATATAGGCATTTCCTGGTATTAGTGGGGCTGAAATAAGATTTTAAATTGAATAAGCTACGATCAATCAGATGCGATACACTCTCGTTATGTCTTAAACAGTGCATATACTACAGAAAGCGTGTCCTGCTATGATTTACGTATACACCTTAGAGTTCGGTATGTTAATATCGAGCTTTAATAAATACGTCCTTTTCGCTGGGTCTGGAAGTTAAGGAGCTCAAGTGTACATTCTTTAAATTTCTAGTCGAAATTTTGACTTATCTTTCCCTCAGTGTCTTAGGTGCAGACAAGTATAGTAATATCAGTGCAAATAATATTTTCCAGGATATAATGTAGCAAAATACTGCTGTATTAATTAAAGTTTACTATAAATAACTATGGCGGCATTTAATTAGGTTCAGTGGCGATGATTTGATATTTGTTATTCTTAATTGTTTCTGAGACGTATTAGTATTATTTAACTTTGACAGACTGCTCATTCAGATTTAATTTTACAAGAATGATCATTGCGTTTAAAACAATGTTTCCCCCAACTGTTCGCCTACAGTGCGTGAACTGCGCATCTCACTGTCTGCTGAGTCATGACCCATTTGAGTTAAAAGAGACGCACGCGCAAACAGCTTATGGAAAGTACTCGAAAAAGGACTATGAACATAGCATGTGGACGTAAATTCCATATCAGCCTTTAAGTTGACTATTTTCGATGAATGCCCGTTCCTTATTAATATAAGTAACCATAAAAGTATTCATGCCTTGATAAAACTGTACTTAAAGCAATTGACGACAACCTTGTTCAAGGAAGTAATCAATTGCAAGTCAAGTGACAGTCATTGACCTTGCTTTAGTGCCATAAAACAGTTGCTCCATATTGTCTGTTTGGCGAAGCACCAATACGAACTTTGTATAAGCATTTTGTGATGGTACTAGAATGTCACGGTCGAGATATAATAGGATGTCTTGATTAAGTTGTACTTATGTCAGGGGCGCCAATCGTGTAAAGATATCTGATCAAAAGCGAGAAAGTGACAATTCCCTTTAATTAACCAACCTCTAATCTTCCGTTCCTGACATGCACCATAACAGTTTTATCGCATTGTTTATTTCAAAAATACATTTGCTTCCTTGTATAACTTTCACAACTAATTTCTATTCCAGATCATCAGTTGATCTCAGTAATCCGTGATGTCCAAAAGTAAAGGGGCCAGGGCACATCGTGCCAGAGAGTACATGCACACTTTGGTTGACACCAGAGAGCGCTTAGATACAGCTCTTAAAACCCTGAGAAGTGTGAGTGAAGAAGGTCCGAATCTCGCCGTCGATGGCGAAGGTTTTGATTATTCCAGAAGAGGAAGACTGTCTTTAATTGTCATCGCAACAAGAGATCACGTGTTCCTGTTTGATATCGTCAAGCTAGGAAAGCGTGTTTTTGATCGCGGGCTTCGCAAGATTCTGGAGGATCCCACACGCGAAAAGCTGATGTTCGACTGCCGCGAAGATTCTGATATTCTGTGGCATCAGTACAACGTGGAACTTGACGGCGTCCTAGATATACAGCTTTTGCAAGTTATGTTTTGTAGGAGAGACGACTCGGATCTCTCGCCATTTGGTCGACAGAGAGGTGCCCTAGCACCATGTGTAAAGGTATTAAGTTTGCTGCATTGCCTTGAGCAGTACGCCGACGATGTTACGTCCACTAAAATAAAAAAATCTGTTGGCTCAACCTTCGCGCAATCACCAGAGCAGTGGATGGTCAGACCTATTCCCAGCGACATGATCAAGTACGCATGCGTTGACGTATCGACCCTGTTTGTTCTCTACGACAAAATGAAAATGGGCAAAAGGAACATGAGGCGTCTGAAAGTCGCATCAGCGCGCTACGTCAGTCTGAAGCGTTCGATAAAAAAACGCCGCTATGACATTTTTGAGAGAAATGGGTACCTTCCCCTTAATGTAATACCCGAAAAGGGACATGTCGATTTTTCTCCCTATCAGTCCTCCAAAGGCCCTAAGTGTGTGGGCTGTCAAAGACGCTTTCCACGGGAAGCATTCACTAAAACACAGCTTAGAAATGGCGAACAAAAATGCAAAGTTTGCAGGAAGGTGAAACACAGTATAGATGTCCAGAGAAACAAAGAAGAAAACTGCGAAAGTGACAGCTCTGAAGATGATAGCGATACCTCCGAGGATGATTCTTCCGTTTCGACCTCTGACAATGACGATGACTATTAGGAATAATTGGGATGCAACTTAATTTTCTTTGGAATATTAATGTTCTTTGGGGGTTTGGCTGTGCCTGTGGGGAAGGGTGATTTTTTTCTTCTTTATATAAACTCAGCTATCTCCTCCTAGATCATTGGAATGAGGAAGTTGAGATTTTTGGGCTTGTTCTCCTGGAGGTTTGGCTATCTCCGGGGGAGGAGAATCCTTTTCAACGCTGTAATTGCTTTTACATTGTACCTCCACCTAGGCCGTTAACGTAAAAACTTGGGGGTTATTAAGAGTATCAAGGGAGATATGCATAGGCACTGAGGAATTTATGTGTGATTGGGGGTAGAGCTGTACCTGGTGGGTGGATGATTCTAATTTAACATTGTCATTCCTGCCATCTCATTTTAGACCTTTTGATCGTGGAACTTAAAACTTGAGTGACTGAAAGACCTAACATCATGGATGTTAATAAGCAATTCGGAATATTAATGGGCTTGGGATTGGGTTGTCCTGGGGTGAGGGATGATTCTTTTTTGCACAAAAATTCCAAATTGTCCATGTATATCCCCGATGGGGAAATGAGGAAATATATGATAGCTACCCGTCGGCATCATCTACATCTTATTGCAAAAGATACAGACTGAAAGAGTGATAAATATATGGACTGCTAATGATTCCATATACATTCTCAGAGAAGTGTATCGGGCAATGTATGCATCAGTTTAATTACCTAAATATTTCGTATTTGGTACAGGTTCTTGCATGATAATACTTAATAATTATTAGGCTCTCTTTTAATACAATTATTACCAAAGATCAAGTTTACTTTCTTTCCTGAAGTTGGCTTGTCGGCATGCTGCTATGCTTCAGTCATGACAAAACGTTTGAGCTTTTTTTAAATTTTCTGTGAGAGCTACCATAATTGCATGAACAAATTAAACATACTTTGCATATGTCAAGGTTTTTCTTTTTAGGCATCGACAGGCGTACAGATTTTAATGCTATTTTGAACATTTTCTAGAACGTCTTAGAAATGAATAAACTTTACAGACTGCTCTTTCAGTTTTCACAAGGATCATTTTTGTAAATTACCTGGCATATTCACTTAAATAAAATAGTTATGATATATAAAAGAGTAAATTGCTAGATTTATCTCAAGGCGGGTAAATTGGGTAAAAAGGAGAAAATCGTGTTTTTTTTTTTTTTTTTTTTTTTTTTTTTTTTTTTTTTTTTTTTTGGATGTTAATAATTATCAAAAACGTATCTAAACACTGGATGAAATCATACTTTTTGTGTCTAGACCAAAAACCGTGTCTTTTGATGAGTATTTCAACTGCACGTGCCCCAGGCAGACTAACTTGTAAACCACGCCCCCGTTGTTAAGGTCTTTGTTATGAGGGGGCGGAGCAAAGTTACAGAGACCGCATTTAGATTCAGACATCGAACCAGCTGGGTCGATCTAACTCTGCGAGGGATTCTCTCTAAGTGCTCTCAGTGGAACAAGTTTAATTGTCCGACCGAAAATTACCGACACACTTGGCGTTTATCTTCATATGTCAGAGTGGTTATTATTTATAGAATAGCATCTGATAGCTTGTGAATTGTCGGAAGTACAGTAGTTTATTCTGGAAAATATTTGTACATCACACGTCTTATTCTAAGGTATTAGTGAAAAACCAGTCTTTCCACAAGCGAGAATCTGTAGAACTAAATAAAAACATCACTACTTACATGTGTATATACTGTATATTAAAATGTACAACTATCGGTAAGTAACAAATAATGATTATTAATGAACTTAACTCATTGAAATAGACTACATGTAGGCCTAAATGTAACCACAAAATAAAAAAAAAACATGCTACAGTGAAAAGGGTAGGTAAAGATAAAAAAGAATACAAAGGGAGAAAATTTGACTAAGAAAACTTGAAATGGAAAGGAATTTAGAAAGAGTTAATGCTACCTAGAAATACAATTTAATCTTATTATAGGAGTTCTGTGAGGCAAGGCCAACTACAAACGTAGCACACATACTGCTTATCTCCGGGCAAGAAAAGTGAAAGAGAAAATAAAGACCAAAAGTTTAAAGAAATATAATAAGAAATAAGCCTATCACTTATACTATATTTACTTACTTACTTACTTGATCATTCGGGTGATTAAAAATATATTACCTTACACGGTATTTCACGGCTTTTGATATTTCAATCACAGTTAATTACGAATAAGCTAAATCCTGCAGGGAAATCTTTAAAATCTGCATTTGTTTTGAGACAGACGAGAAGGAAAAAATGTAAGGGATGGTTATTCCGAAGCTAAAGGGGTGGGGCAGAGTCACGTGACCCATCGCCCCCACCCCTGATCCTCCATAGTTGTGTAGGTGAATAATGGTACAGGTTAAATTTGATAGTTTTCTTCAATTTGTTTAAAATGTGTACCTGAGTATTTTTTTTAATAAAGGCTGTCAAGTGTTATACACTGAATCATAAATGTGTTATCCACGAAAACACATTCGGAACAAAGGCTACAAGCGCTGTTACTCATTAGCTACTTGTTTACGTTCGAAGAAAGCTGGAGTTAATGGAACTTACGCAGAAACGTAAATCGAAAGTAAGTACTTAGGTCAATCTATTGTATTTTATGAAGCGATCATTATTGCATTCATGCCTTCATAATTAAACCAATGGAATTATCAATAGACGTCAACCTTTTTCGGAGAATTGATCAAAAGCCAACAAACCTTTATAATCGGTGGACCTTAAGTCAGGTAACAGTCATAGACCTTGCTTTTCCGTCATAAACCAGTTACAATTTCAGGGACATTCGTATATACTGGTATATTGCTAGGTAAGACAGCGTTACAGAATTTGTTATACGAAATATTCCGATTGAATATTGATAATATTTACGCCTTTCAAGCTATTTGATTACTGGACTCCCGTGAAGCTTTTGATACTGGGATAGATCAGATTTGCTTGATCCTTGTACATTTGCCAACAGGTAACGATAAGTTATGGTTTCAAAGTGAACAGTTTTCTTACGTATGGTGTTGACGCTTGTGTCAAGAGTTTAAGTTTGATATTCGTGAAATTTTGTGAGAGAATTAATTCTTGATACGACGCAGCTTCCATTATCGAAAAGATATTCTGTACACACGGTCGCCCCTCTGATATGCTAGTACGTTCAGTAATAACACACATTTAGATTGATCGCATCAAACATAAATTCGCCACCTTGCGTCATAAGTACAATTATTTTCCCTTCCAGAGGGAATCATTGAAACTATGTCAGAAACTAGACACTCGGCAATGGTTGGCTCCAAACCTTACACTTTGGTTGACACCAACGATGGCCTTGAAACTGCTCTCAAATCCCTGAAAAGTGAGAGTAAAGAAGGACAAAATCTTGCCGTCGATGGCGAAGGCGATAATTATACCAGAAGAGGGACGATGTCTTTGCTTGCTATCGCAACAAGAGATCACGTGTTCCTGTTTGATATCATCAAGCTCGGAAAGCTCGTTTATGATCGCGGGCTCCGCGAGATTCTGGAGGACCCCACACGCGAAAAGCTCATGTTCGACTGCCGTGAAGACTCTGATATCCTTTGGCATCAGTTCCAAGTGAAGCTCGACGGCGTCCTGGATTTGCAGCTTTTGCAAATAATACATAGTAAGAGGGACAACTCGGATTTCTCGCCAATCGGTCGAAAGCGAGGTGCAGTAGCATTCTGCGAAAAGGTATTTGGTCTAATGCGTTGCCTTGAGGTTTATACCAACGATTTTGCCTCTATTCAAACAAAGAAATCTATTGGCTCAACCTTTCCGCTATCAACAAAGCAGTGGATGATCAGACCTTTACCCAGCGACATGATCAAGTACGCATGCGTCGACGTATCAACCCAGTTTACTCTTTACGAAAAAATGAAAATAGGCGATCAAGACATGAGGCGGTTAAAGGTGGCATCGGCTCGTTACGTCGATTTAAAGCGTTCGATAATCGCACGCCGTTACGACAGTTATGAGAAAAATGGGTACCTGCCATTGAATATAATACCTCCAAAGGGATGTGTTGGTTTTTCGGCCTCTCAGTCCAATGAAGGCCCCACGTGTACCGGTTGTCAACGGCGCTTTCCGCGGGGAGCATTTAACGACACAGATCTTAGCAAAGGAGAGCAAAAATGTAAAGTATGCTTGAGGGTGAAAATGGAAACAGGGGACTGGAAGATTAGGGGGAGGAGATTGTAACGTGACGAAGATAACGTGTATAGTTGCTGCTACATTGATTTTTTTCTAAAATTTGGTGATGATGACACTAAACCTGTGGTTGTACCTCCGTCAGTGAGGATTTGTTGTCACCTGTGTCTGTTAATTCGTCACCAGTCTAACTCAGTATAATTATAGATGGATTTTCATGAAGTCAGAAATTGTAGAAGAGATTATAATTTAGATGTGATTCGGATCAACATAATGGTCAAAGAAGCTTATAAATGATCATGCATCATTTCGAGACAAGGCTTATAACTGTTCACCAAAAAATCACAAAAAAAAATATTTTTAGATCATTGGGCCACGAATGTGCTCTTTACTAGCACAATGGATGTAGACTTCTTGGTGGAGGTCCATGCTGCTCCCTTTTCTCGTTGCTATGTATTTTTTTATTTCAAAGCATCCTGCTCGAATAGTGCACTGTTGCTAATGGAAAGCTTAAAAAGTCCTACTGTTTAGGTTTAGAAAATATCTAAAGTTTTGAAAAGATCATTTAATTGGATGACAGATAATCTCACTTAGGTGATATATCATTTCTAAATATGAACTGAATGTGCGTTTGATACATGAATCGGTTGAGTTTTCTGAAAATGTAGGCAGTATTTTATAATCACGTTAGAACTAACGTTTAAACATTTTACTAGTGTCATTGTTACAGATGTTTGGTGTCAATATAATTAAAGGGAAAAACAACTCTTCACTTTGGCGGGATAGTTGCCATAAAACGGATTTTCCTTGGGTAACCAAAGACATTTAAAGTTAATAGATTGACATTTAAAGTTAATAGTTTTTTGTAGTAATCTCTTAACGGGATGAGAACTCTTTGTTCAAAGTTAGTTGATTGTTTTCTTCAGACGATTTTTGTAATAATCCCTCAAGGGATAATAATTCTACATTTTAAGATTGAAATATTAAATATATTAAGGAGGATAGCCAGCTATGAAGGTCCAAATAGACCAATGACAAGCAAAGATGTCAGAATAATTGCTATAACCACCGTTTTGGTGGTAAAATGAAATTAATTATATTTCTGTGTGTTGTTTACAGTTTGTTTAATAGAGTAGTTTGAATCGCAAATGAAAAGTTGTTATCCATTTTATGTGTAAATATAATTGATTTATGTTTTGTCGGTTTTTGCTTCAAAATGTCTGCAATATTTGGTTGTATGGTTGGCCATTTGTTAAAAAAAAGGATTTGAAAATCATTATATATATATGTGCTTTTTAGCATAAACATGTGTGGCACATTTTCAATTAAAAGTTATAGAAATATTTTAGAAAAAAAATTGATATCATTCATGAATTAAAACTACTCCTACAGCTCATCCCTGGTGCATGGTTCCTCTTGTATAGTGCTACCCCCTCGTGGCAGGTTGAGAATGTTTGCAACTTTCTGCAGTTTATTCTTCTCACTTTTTGCTGGGAAAAGGTCCACTGTGGGTAAATCTGATAAAGGTAAACTTAGGTATCATGACAAAATGTCCACATTTTCAGAAAAAGAAACCCTCCATTTGCATTTGCTACCTACGGGCCTGGTATCTTCTTAGTTCTGCTCGGCTTGCCTTATTGCTCGTTGATCTTTAATTAATTAAGAAGTTGAATAACATTTTCTTTTGTTTAAAGACTTCTTGGGACTATACCTCACACCTGTAGGTTAGAATTGGTTTCATAAATTTATCGAAAAGTCTCACTGTTAATACGGGGTGTGCTGTTTTGTGATTTTCAAGTTGTTTCGAGGGAAAATAATGTCCTGATATCTTTTAGCTTAAAGTTTTCCATGGCCTTTTTAAGTGAGCCTCAGCTTGTAAATGTGATTCAAACGTAATCAAATTCTTTTACTATTCCAACAGTGCTTCCATTTATTGTGAACTTTAGAAATGGATGGAAAATAGAAATAAAAAAGCTTAAGCCAAATGTAGGACAGCCTATATTTGTTTTCCTATAGAATTCTCGAAAATGGAATGTAAATGTCGCTCGAGATCGTGACCTCCATTTACGGCTGCCAAAGGGGGGGATGGGGGGATGTTACCAATCACAGTCTCACGATAAATACAGTGTAAATAAAATCAAATATCACCGATAACAAATAATAAATCGATTTACAAGATTAAACATAATCAAATGAGTGCTGATTTACAGCGTCATGGTCAATAAACTGACGTGTCTGGGTAGTGTGGAATTGATTTGATAAATCATTGATCACTGATTTCACCCATCCCCATCCTCCCGTCACTTGGTGGGTTTTGGGGAAATACATTCTTGTTTGTGATATCAATTATTTACGCATTCTTGTCTTTATAAAGGAGTTGAGATATCAATTCCCGACAGTCTTTTTCGAAGAACTGATCAAAAGGCAGTAGGCTCCTGTAGTCCACGGGCAGTCAAGCGATAGTCATAGGCGTCGACGTAGCATCGTAAAACAAGTTTTAGGGACACTGGTCTACATTTGTTATAAGGTGAATAAGGGTCATAAACTTTGTGTACGCAAGTATAAGCAGAGCAGTAAAAACAAAAAAAAAAACATTTTTTGAGCTATACTTACTTATTAACTTATTTGATCATTTGGGAGATTTAAAATATATTTCCTTATTTCACGCATTTAGATATTTCAATTACAGTTAATTATGAATAAGCTAAATCCTGCAGGGAAATCTTTAAAATCTACATTTGTTCTAAGACAGACGAGAAGGTAAAAATGTGAGGGTTAGTTATTTCGAAGCTGAAAGGGTGAGGCAGAGGTACGTGACCCCCCCCTCCCCGATCCTCCATAGCTGTGAATAATGATACAAGTTATATTTGATAGTTTTCTACAACTTGATTTAAATGTGTACCTGAGGACGTTTTAAATAAAGGCTGTATTGTGTTTTACAATGAATCATAAGTGTGTTGATATGGTTTTGAGCTTATAAACTGATCAAATTAAGGGGGGCAAAAATGCATATTCATATTACCTGCATATTTCACGTCATATTGGTGTAAGAAAGATTTGTGACACCGTACGTTTCTTTGTCATCATCTAAGGTATATCAACAGAGATTAATGAAGAAATATCAACCCAAAACATTTATTTACAATTTTTCAACTGATTTTACAATTTATTCTCGTTTTTCCAGTCAGATTTATCCTGTATATCCATGAAACACATATTCGGTATATAGGCTACAGGTACTGTTTATCCCTAGTTACTTGTTTACGTTCGAAGAAAGCTGGAGTTAATGGAACTTACGCGGAAACGTAAATCAAAATCTAGGTCAACCTATTGTACTTTATAAAACCTATCAATAAAGCAGTCATGTCTTAACAATTAAAGCAAATACAATTATCAATAGACGTTAAATGTTTTCGGAGAACTGATCAAAAGCCAACCAACCTTTTTAATCGGTGTCTTTGTCAAACCTTGAAGTATACACGGGAAGTCTAGTACAGTCATAGACCTTGCCTTAGCGTTATAAACTACTTACAGTGTCAAGGACATTGTTGTGTAGGCCTACTCGTACATTTTTAGGTAAGATGGCGTTACAGAATTTGTAATACGAAATATTCTGTTTGGATATTGGCAATATTTTACGTTTTTCAAGCTATTTCATTACTGGACTCCCGTTAATCCATTGATATTGGGAAAGATTCGATTCATTTGATCGTTGTACATTTGCCTACAGGTAACGATATTAAGTTATGGTTACAAAGACAACAGTAGATTTTCTTACGTGAAATTTTGTGAGAGAATTAATTCTTGATACGTAGCTTCCATTATCGTATAGATACACTGTACACACGGTCGCACCTCTTATATAGGCCTACCAGTACGTGCAGTGATGACATACATGTAGATCTATCGCATCAAACATAAATTTGCCACTTTGCGTCATAAGTACAATGATTTTCCCCTCCGAGTTTTAACGAGTTACCCGGGGTAAGCAACATTTCCCCTCGATTTTACAACCTTTTATCTTCCTTTCCTGACACTCACTGTAACTCTGTAAATTTTTTCGTCAAAGATACATTTGCTTCCATGTATAACTTGCAGACCTATTTTCTATTCCATATCGACAGGTGATCTCAGAAATCCGTGATGTCCAAAAGTAAGGGACCATCGGCCAGTTCACTTGGTGCACGTGGACCCAGGGCACATGGTGCCAGAGAGTACATGTACACTTTGGTTGACACCAAGGAGCGCTTAGATTTAGCACTTGAAAACCTGCGAAGCGTGAGTAAAGAAGGACCGAATCTTGCTGTCGATGGCCAGGGAGTTGATTATTCCAGAAGAGGAAAGCTGTCTTTAATTGTCATCGCGACAAGAAATCACGTGTTCCTGTTTGATATCATCAGGCTCGGGGAGCTCGTTTTTGATCGCGGGCTGCTCGAGATTCTCGAGGATCCCACTCGCGAAAAGTTGATGTTCGACTGCCGCCAGGATTCCGATATCCTTTGGCATCAGTACCACGTGAAACTTGATGGTGCCCTAGATATACAGCTTTTGCAAGTTATGCATAACAGAGGAAAAAACAACCCGATCCCGTCGCCATTCAGTCGAAAACGCGCTCGAAAACAAACTGTAGAAAAAACCTGTGTAAGAGTAGTTGGTTTGACGAGTTGCCTTGAAAAGGAAAAAATAATTAATTCCGACGATGTCAAAAGTAGGCGACATTTTGAGATGAGCTATCTACAAGATCTCAAGAGATGGACCAGGAGACCCATCCACGAGGATACGAACAGGTACGCATGCGAGTGTGTTTCAACGCTTTTTGCCCTGTACGACAAAATGAAATCGGAAAACATAACTCAGCTGAAAGAAGCATCTGGGCGTTACGTTGACCTCAAGCGTTCGATATCCCGTCGCATATATGACGATTTTGAGGAAAATACATACCTGCCGCTAAATATAATAACGTATACAGAATATGATTTAGATGAAGACCATAAGCGTGAGCTCTGCCAAAGGCACTTTCCATCTGAAGCGTTAATGGGCAATAGAATTAAAAAGTGCAAGGTTTGTTTTCAGGTGGAAAGGGAAAAAATAAGAAAATTAGGAAGGAAGAAAGGAAATCACAAGAACGATGACAGTTATTATGGTTTCATGTATATGTTACGATAAGAAAGAAGTATATTTTTAGAGCACCATGATGTATGTGCTAATAGCATTTTTATACGTCGTTTCAAAGGTTGAGCAATTTAGAGAATATCCAAAATTTTGAAAAATTAAGTCGATTGGATGGTAATTATTTCACTCTTGTCGATACATCTGCCTTTGTTAATATGTGTGCTTATTCATCTGACAAACCTATCACGAATTTATTCCTGTAACCGGGCGGTTTTCCACATATTTGCCGTCATTGCATATGCACATGTAGATATAGCAGGCACAGAAAACGCAACAAAATTAGGTACAACTAAATTCCCCATGTGCTTTTTTTTTTACCATCCACAGCTTCTTAAAAAAAAACTTAAAACACACCAAAAACGAGTTTACTTTACTTAGATCCTGTGTGCCATATGTCTATCGTTGTGTCTCAGGCCTGTAGCCNCCCCCCCCCCCCCCCCCCCCCCCGGGTACGGGCCTGTGTCTATATAACGAATTTATCAAGAAAAAGCCTTATGTATGGGACTGTATTCTTACATGGGTTAAAGGTTTGTTTAACTGCTTTTATTTAATACATGCACTTCACTAGATATTATATTTGTGTTCTTCTAGTAATACAATGTTGATGAAAGTAATTATATGGAATATTAGTATGCTTTCATTTTTGTCCAAAATATGGATATGTTTAAAAAACGAATGTATGGTCAAATGTATGTGGATGTAACGAATGTATGTGAATGTAAAAATCTGAGAGATGACAGTCTTAAAATTATATATATATATATATATATATATATATATATATATATATATATATATATATATATATATATATATATATATATATTTTTTTTTTTTTTTTTTTTTTTTTTTTTTTTACTGATATGAAAATACATTTATTAAGCGTTAATAAATCTATAGCATTTAAGATTTTTGTTTTTACTTTTGTTGGGTTATCAAGCCACTATAATTGTGGCCAAAGTATGCATATAGTACTAGCAGATCAGCCGAAGTCTCCTTTTTGCGTTTTTCGTCCATACTGCAACGATCTGTTGACAACTGACAGGTGTTAGCAATACCTTAATGCAGTTTGAAGATGGTGGTCGTAGTCTGAGTTTGATTACTGATATAACTGTAAAGTATATTTCGAAGGCATTTTCTAGCCTTCGGCAATTTGCGTAAAACTTCGGCACGTGTGACAGATATCATATTTATTGTCAATTAAACGATTCCTACACAGTCACTTTTTATTTTATTTTTTAATGTTAAAGTCACAAATATTTTATTCAGGGCAAGTGTCGAAATAAGACTTTCACGCAGAATATAGTATAAAAAGAGGTTCTATAAATCGTGAATACTAATCTCTTATAATGGTTCAATGACTTAGACGGGTGTCAGCTAGATTCTTGTAATTTCACGTTCGGGAAAAATACAGCATCTAGAGCAGGCGCATCCATTTTATTATTGTCAAATATGTTTTTCAGATGCAAGTATAAGCAGAGCAGTAAAAACACAAAACTTTCTCTTTTTGAGCTATACTTGCTTACTTATTTACTTACTTACTTGATCATTGGGGAGATTTAAAATATAAAACCTTATTTCACGCCGTTTGATATTTCACTCAGAGTTTATTATGAAGAAGTAATATCTTGCAGGGAAACCTTAAAATCTGCCTTCTGGGAAAGACGAGAAGGAAAAAATGTAAGGGTTAATTATTCCGAAGCTGAAGGAGTGGGGCAGAGGCACGTGGACCCCCCCCCCCCCCCCGATCCTCCATAGCTGTGAATAATGGTACAGGTTAAATTTGATAATTTTCTTCAACTTATTTACAATGTGTACCTGAGGAGTTTTTTAATAAAGACTGACAAGTGTTATACACTGAATCATAAGTGTGTTGATATGGTTTTGACCTTATAAACTGATCAAATTAAGGGGGGCATAATGTATATTCATATTTCACGTCATATTGGTGTAAGAAAAGATTTGTGAAACCGTACGTGTCTGTGTCATCATCTAATGTATATCAGCAGAAATTAATAAAAATCAATATAAAACATTTTATTCTCATTATTTTATTCTCATTATTCGGGTCAGATTTATCCAGTATATCCATGAAAACACATATTCGGTACATAGGCTACAAGCACTGTTTGTCCCTAGCTAATAATTTACGTTCGAAGAAAGCTGGAGTTAATGGAACTTACGCGGAAACGTACACACACTGGACAAAAGAAGTGTCACCCCTACCGAGCTAATACTATGGGGGAGATAAATGACTGTGGAATGATATGCTCCTGGTATCATTTTATTCACATCAAATTTCACAAAAAATCACAAAATGAGAACAAAATATACATTCTACCACAATATGCAGTTTCAAGTCAAAAATTAGTACTTAGTGGCATAGCCACTTGACCTAATAATATGTGGCAGTCTACGAAGCAAGGATTCATACAATTGTCTGATGCGTTCAGGGCTTATGCTGGCCCAAGCATGAAACACTGAATATAACAGAGTTTCTCTGCTGGTTAGACGGGCATTTGTCCAAAGTTTTGACATATCATTCCACACATTTTCTATTATGTTTGCATCCGGACTCTGGGCAGGCCACATCACCCTGCGAATGTCCTGTTGGTCAAACCAATCATCAGCTGCTTTGGTTCTGTGACAAGGAACATTGTCATCCTGGTGAACAAATGGATAATTCCTGTCACCAAACATGTTAGTAATAGATGGTAGCAAGCCTGACTCCAAAACATCGATATATTTCTAGTGATTCATGTTTTCATCAACCACAATCAATTTGCCCACGCCATGGATGCTGATGCAGCCCCACACCATGATGAATATGCTGCTCCGGGTTCGAAAATTCAGTACATGTGGTTCAAATGCTTTACCAGCAGTTCGCCAGCATCGTACTGTCTGTCATCNTACCCTGATGTACACTCTATGAGCATGTAACCGACGCCTAGCAATTTTCACAGACACATTCTTATGTGTGAAATTTTTCCACTGTGTTGTCAACTGACAAGCAGTGTCGAACTTTGACAACCTGGACATCAAAATCAGTCGTCGGTCTTCACGGCCAGTAGTTTTTCTTGGACGACCCATCAGAGGCAATTTGTCTCTTGATCCAGTGTTTCTATACCGAGACCAGACCCTCTGCACGGTTCTGACTAAAAATTCAATTGTATCGATATACTGACATTGCTTATATTCCGCCTCTTCAGGTTAATAACTTGCACCTTTAACCGTTAGATAATTGCCTGTATCTTGCCATATTGGAGGAAGACAGAAATAACATTTGCTGTACATGTACAAGACCAACAATACAATCCCATGGTACAGCGGTTTTATACTCATTAGTCACATTATAAGTAGACCAGGCATTATAATTACCCAAGGTCTGCCTACTTTTATTACTCTGAGTTAGGGGGTGACACTTCTTTTGTCCAGTGTGTGTATATCAAAATCTAGGTCAACCTATTGTACTTTATAAAACCGATCAAAAAAGCAATTATGGCTTAACAATTAAAGTAATACAATTATCAATAGACGTAAAACTTTTTCGGAGAACTGATCAAAAGCCAACAAACCTTTTTATTCGATGACTTTGCCAAACTTTGATGTATACACGGGAAGTCGGGTAATAGTTATAGACCTTGCCTTAGCGTTATAAACCAGCTGAGATTTCAGGAAGATTAGTATATACTCAAACATTGTTAGGTAAGACAGCGTTACAAAATTTGTTATAAGAAATTCCGATTGAATATTGGTAATATTTCACGCCTTTCACGCTATTTGATTATTGGACTCCAGTGAAGCATTTGATATCGGGATAGGTCAGATAAGCTTTATCGTTCCACATTGCCTACAAGTAAAGATAATATGTTATGATTTCAAAGTGAACAGTAATTTTTCTTACGTATGGTGTTGACGCTTGTGTCAAGAGTTTCAGTTTGATATTTCATGAAATTTTGTGTGAGAGAATTAATTCTTGATACGACGTAGCTTCCATTATCGTATAGATATTCTGTACGCACGCTCGCCCTTTTGATATACGAGTCGGTTCAGTAATAACATACGTTTAGATCGATCGCATCAAACATAAATTTGCCACATTGCGTCATAAGTACATTTATTTTCCCTTCCAGAGGGAATCATTGGAACTATGTCAGAAACTAGACACTCGGAAATAACGGTTGGCTCCAAACCTTACACTTTGGTTGACACCAACGATGGCCTTGAAACTGCTCTCAAATCCCTGAAAAGTGAGAGTAAAGAAGGACAAAATCTTGCCGTCGATGGCGAAGGCGATAATTATACCAGAAGAGGGACGATGTCTTTGCTTGCTATCGCAACAAGAGATCACGTGTTCCTGTTTGATATCATCAAGCTCGGAAAGCTCGTTTATGATCGCGGGCTCCGCGAGATTCTGGAGGACCCCACACGCCAAAAGCTGATGTTCGACTGTCGTGAAGATTCTGATATCCTTTGGCATCAGTTCCACGTGAAACTTAACGGCGTCCTGAATTTGCAGCTTTTGCAAATAATACATACATGTAGTAAGAGGAACAGCTCGGAGCTCTCGCCAATCGGTCGAAAGCGAGGTGCGGTACCATTCTGCGAAAGGGTATTTGGTCTGATGCGTTGCCTTGAGGTTTATACCAACGATTTTGCATCTATTCAAACAAAGAAATCTATTGGCTCAACCTTTTGGCTATCAACAAAGCAGTGGACGATCAGACCTTTACCCAGCAATATGATCAAGTACGCATGCGTCGACGTATCAACCCTGTTTGTTCTTTACGAAAAAATGAAAATAGGCGATCAAGACATGAGGCGGTTAAAGGTGGCATCGGCTCGTTACGTCGATTTAAAGCGTTCGATAATCGCACGCCGTTACGACAGTTATGAGAAAAATGGGTACCTGCCATTGAATATAATACCTCCAAAGGGATGTGTTGGTTTTTCGGCCTCTCAGTCCAATGAAGACCCCACGTGCACCGGTTGTCAACGGCGCTTTCCGCTGGGAGCATTTAACGACACGGATCTTAGCAAAGGAGAGCAAAAATGTAAAGTTTGCTTGAGGGTGAAAATGGAAACAGGGGACTGGAAGATTAGGGGGAGGAGGTTGTAATGTGACGAAGATAACGTGTATAGTTGCTGCTACATTGATTTTTTTCTAAAATTTGGTGATGATGACACTAAACCTGTGGTTGTACCTCCTTCAGTGAAGATTTGTTGTCACCTGTGTCTGTTAATTCGTCACCAGCCTAACTCAGTATAATTATAGATGGATTTTCATGAAGTTTTCAGAAATCTTAAAAGAGATTATAATTTAGATGTGATTCGGATCAACATATTGGTTAAAGATGCTTATAAATGATCGTGCATCATTGCGAGACAAGGCTAATAACTGTTCACCAAAAAATCATAAAAAGATATTTTTAGATCATTGTGCCATGAATGTGCTCTCAACTAGCACAATGTATGTAAACTCCTTGGTGGAGGTCCATGCTGCTCCCTTTTCTCGTTGCTATGTATCTTTTAATTCAAAGCATCCTGCTCGAATAGTGCACTGTTGCTCATGGAAAGCTTAAAAAGTCCTACTGTTTAGGGTGTGAAAATATCTAAAATTTCGAATACGATCATTCATTAGATGACAGTTAATTTCACTTAGGCGATATATCATTTCTAAATATGAACTGAATGTGCGTTTGATACATGTATCGGTTGAGTTTTCTGAAAATGTAGACAGTATTTTATAATCACGTTAGAACTAACCACACCCGTTTATAACCATTTTACTAGTGTCATCGGTACAGATGCTTGGTGTCAATATAATTGAAGGGAAAAAATCTCTTCATTTGGTATAGTTGGTATAGTTGCCATAAAACGGATTTTCCTTGAGAAGCCAATTGATTGACATTTAAAGTTAATAGTTATTTATTTATTTATTTATTTATTTATTTATTTATAACAATTTCTTAACGGAATGACAACTCTTTATTCAAAGTTAGTTGATTATTTTCTTAAAGCGATTATTTGTAATAAACCCTCAAGGCATAATAATTCTTCATTTTAAGATTAAAATATTAAAAGTATTAAGGAGGATAGCCATCTATGAAGGTCCAAATAGACCAATGACAAGCAAAGATGTCAGAATAATTGCTATAACCACCGTTTTATTAGTAAAAGGGAAATTATTTATATTTCTGTGTGTTGTTTACAATGTATTTAATAAAGTAATTTGAAACGCAAATGAGGGGTTGTTATCCATTTAATTTGTAAATATAATTTATATAGGGTTTATCGTTTTTTTATTTTTATTTTTATTTTTATTTATTTATTTATTTATTTATTTTTTGCATTAAAATGTCTGCGATACATGTATTTGCTTGTACGGTTGGCCATTTGTCAAAAAAAAAAGCACTTGAAAATTATTATATTATGATTTTCTAACATAAATATGTGTGGCACATTTTCAATAAAACAGTTAAAGGTTTAAAGGGTATTTTAGAAAAATTGATATCGTTCATGAAACAAAACGACTTCTACAGCTCGCCTCTGGTGCATGTCTCCTCTTGTATAGTGCTACCCCCCTTGTGGCAGGTTGAGAATGTTTGCACAGTAGGAAGCACAGGTTTCAAACCACTGCACATGCGCGAAAAGTACTCTGTTTGAAATAAACAAATGGTGAAATTGACAAAGCCTGCCGGTGTTTACCGTCTGGTTGATTTGATTTAATTTGCTTTCTGGTGTTGTTTTGAGAAATTATATTAGAAATATTCTGTTGATTGTATGTATTAAAAAGCAAATCCATCGGACTTTCCTAAGATTAACATTTATTTTGTCTTCATTGTAAGGGGAATTCTTTTCGCATTTATAGTGTTATATGTGGCCCCAAGGGGATTTTCCACCCTACTCCCCCACTCTTGATTAATAAAATTCTTCATCGGGAGGAATGAAAATTATATAGCAAAACACACTGAAAATCGTATGAAGGTTAACTGCAGATAATGCCGCGAGGACATTCTTAACAGGAGGCAAACTTGGCCAATTTAAAATGTTTAACTTCGTTTTACGATTTTGGAGCGCCAGTTCTAATTATTGAAAGCGAGGCAATGGAACCAAAATAATGCGATACAGTTTGTAATCTCGTAAAAATTGCTATTTTTAAATAAAGGTCATAGCATGGAGTGCATAGAAACGCGACTTGTTTATTATTATGATCTTTAATAATGATTAATATAAAACAAACGATATAAAATTTTCTTAACGGTAGCCTATTCATTAACTTAATTGTTTTTTTTTAGTATTTGGAGATTAAAAACACAAAAGTTGGCTGGTTTCATATCGAGGCACCCCGTTTCGTCCGTGTGCTACACTTTCTGCAGTTTACTCTTCTCCACGTCTGAAAGCTCTTTTCTCGGAAAGTAATTTTTGTCACTGGAGTTAAGAATTTGAAACACTTCATCTGCATCTGGAAATCGTCCATCTAAAAATATGATGAAAAAGCTGGAGTTGTCTAGCTGTGTTTTGTAGGCTACAGTATATTGAAAAAATAAAAAAAAAGAAATTCAGTAAAATGGAATGGCAATAGTCATGTGATTGTGATTTTTTTTTCTCTAACAAACAAATTACTAAAGAAAGAAAGGGTCAGTGGCTCTTTCTTCCTCAGTAGTAATATGAGTTTTGCAACTGAGAAAGAATGGAAAGAGCGAAAAGGATTTCTGAAGAATACGAACGAAACTCGAACGCAAATCGAAAGCAATCAAGACTTGAAACTCTACGCACCACTAACGCATTCGTTAATACTTCTGTCTCAACAGGCTTACTGACGAAGATAAACGGATCAAACATTTATAGATTATCTATAGCAGTGCATTCAATAATGCTCCAGTCTGCCATGTATACGTAAAAAGATATGAATACAAAGACTTAGACTCCGACTCCACTTTATAATACGGGGTCGGTTTATAGTGCAGGGTCGGAGTCTAATCCTTTTTTTTTTTTTTTTTTTTTGCAATTGACACGTGGTTATGAAACTCACCCACCTCTAGGGCTCTTTTGGTGTTAATGGTTGTGCAGCTGAGCGTCTTCTTAGATGCCATTTTTCAGGGTGAGTGTTCTAACACTACATTTTTTTCTGTTGGCATGACAAGTGCCAAATGACATCAAAACAAAACATAACCTATCAACGACTCGTATAATTCAAGTGACAGGCACTTTATCCCTACAGATACAAACAATATCATCTCGATCGTCACTTTACCGATCACAGGTAAAGAAACTCCCAGGTATAATAGCTCAATTGTAAGAGGAGATCCCATGTAAATGCTTTACCACAATTTCGCACCTCTTTAATTGCAGCAGGACGCACGATACATCGTACATCCTCTTACAGTGAGGGCAAAATCTTTCTTCCATTGGTATTTTTCAGTGACATCTCTACCCCTTTCAATATGTAGGTTATGGTCATTAAGTCTGAGTTTTGAGATTGCGGTTTTGAAGTAGTCAACAGGTATTTTTCTGCACTGTAGTACTTTGTAAAGATATTTACAAAGTACTTTGTAAAGATTTTTAGTGTACTAAGTTTATCAGATTGTAATCCCTGTCAGAATGAGTTCTCAATTTTTGTGGTTATAAATGTTCTAGTCTAGGATAGTGTGCTATATTTGTCATTTTATTTCCAAGTCCCCATGTTTAGAGAGTATTTTGGTGGCTGATGTCCAGGTGTGTTTTTTATCATCTAATTCTTATTTATATTATTGTTTAAATGTTATTTTTCTATTCTTTTCCCAAACTTTTGTGTCAGTTTCACAACACCAATATATATACGAACTGCATTTTTTAGTACAATTTTTAGTACATCTTTTCAGTTCGTCGACTCTGAGACAGACGAGAAGCAAAAAAGCCCCCCCCCCCCCCCCGATCCTCCATAGCTGTAAATAATGGTACAGATTATATTAATTTAACTTGTTTAAAATGTGTACCAGGGGCCCGTTTCACGAAGCAGTAGTTAGTTAGAACAATATGGCGACGACTGCTTCGTGAAACGGCACTCATAACTAGCGAGAGGCTAACTACCGATCGCTAACTAACTACTGCTTTGAGAACCGGCCCCTGAGTAGTTATCTTAAATAAAGGCTGTCAAGTGTTATATCATAAGTATGTTGATATGGTTTTTAGAATAAACTGATCAAATTAAGGGGGGCATAATGCATATTCATATTACCCGCATATTTCACGTTATCTTGGTGTAAGAAAAGATATGACAAATGGTACAGGTACGTGTCTGTGTCACCATCTAGGGTATATCAGCAGAAATCAATAAAAGAAATGAATATAAAACATTTATTTACAGTTTTCAACTGATTTTACATTTTATTCTCATTATTTGGGTCAGATTTATCCTGTATATCCATATTTTGTACATAGGCTACAAGCACTATTTGTCCCTAGCTAGTTGTTTAAGTTCGAAGAAAGCTGGAGTTAATGGAACTTATGCGGAAACGTAAATCAAAATCTAGGTCAACCTATTGTACTTTATAAAAACCGATCAATAAAGCAATTATGGCTTAACAATTAAAGCAATACAATTATCAATAGACGTTAAACTTTTTCGGAGAACTGATCAAAAGCCAACAAACCTTTTAATCGGTGACTTTGCCAAACTTCGAAGTAGGCCTATACACGGGAAGTCTAGTACAGTCATAGACCTTGCCTTAGCGTCATAAACCAGTTACAATTTCAGGGACATTGGTGTATACTCGTACATTGTAAGGTAAGACAGCGATACAATTTTTTTTATACGATTGAATATTGGTAATACTAGTACTTTATGCATTTAATGCTATTTGATTACTGGACTCCCGTGAAGCCTTTGATATTGAGATAGATCAGATTCGCTTGATCGTTGTGCATTTGCCTAGATTACATTCCTATACGTCCCCGCACCAACACTCCCCCGCACCGATACTCCCCCGCAGTATTGATGCGGGGAAGCAATGATGTGGGGGAGTATCGGTGTGGGGGAGTAACGGTGCGGGGATGTACAGGTGCGGGGGAGTATCGTTGCGCATATAATACAAAAAATTAACTAAGGGGAGTAACGGTGCGGGGGAGTATCGACATGACCCCCTTTGCCAACAGGTAACGATAATATGTTATGGTTTCAAAGTGAACAGTTAATTTTCTTACGTATGGTGTTGACGCTTGTGTCAAGAGTTTAAGTTTGATATTTCGTGATATTTTGTGAGAGTTAATTCTTGATACGTAGCTCCCATAATCGTATAGATTCACTGTACAAATGGTCGCCCTTTTGATGTACCAGTACGTACAGTAATGACATACAATTAGATCGATCGCATCAAACATAATTTCGCCACTTCGCGTTATAAGTACAATGATTTTCCAGATCGAGAGGAAACCATGGCAGAAATTAAACACTCGGAAATAACCAAGGAAGCGCCAAGGACGCCGAATGTTGAAGTTAAAGGGTCCGCTCTGGGATACACCAAGAGCAGCGTTGCAGAGAGTGTGAAAAAAGGTAGGGATCTACGGCACACGTATCAATACTAGAGGTGGGCAAATGACAATTTTTTTTTCAAACAAGATTCTGTGGCCATTTTGGCTGCTAAGCACAAATCCGACAATAATTTTTACTAAGGTTAAATATTTATATTGGTTTCTGCAATTTGTTTGTGAAAAAAGGCGGGAATGGCTTTTTAACAATATTTTCACGGAAAATATGCATAAAAAATGATGTGTAATACGTCTTTCCATATGTTTTGGGAGTTGCAGAGTTCAAATATTAGCATATTCAAGACAATAACATCTGTAGGGTGATATCTTTAAAATATGTTATTTAAAACAAACATACAGGTATACAGAAAATACACACTTCGAGTCAAAGATAAATGCAAATAATGGCCATTATGTACATACTGAATTCATGGATAACAGTTTGGTTTTAAAAACAATGCTGAATACCTTCATGGATGTGTACCAACTTATGTTATGCTGTATAAGGGATATTTGGACGAACTATCTCCTTGGGGAGTCTCACTTAATTGCTATCAACTGACCTTAATTCTTGTCGAACCTGCCTGGAATGATTTGTGCACATTTTGGGTGTATTAACTCTCAAATGCAGCTCGAATGTGCTTGACACACATTAGGAATACCGCAAGAATATTAAGAATGCGACTCATAGTGCAGTTATAATACACTTCGAATGCCATTCGATATTTCTCCACTTGGAATGCACTTCGAAAGTTTTGAGCACGAGCAAAATATTTCGACAGGACGCAAGAATGGGCCCATACATTTGGAATATGCTCAGAATTTTTAGAACGCACTTCGAATATCCAGGAATAAACAAATAATTTTCATTCCGACGACATTCTAGCTCATTTCGCCTCTAGTGTGACTAGGGTATAAATGAAGACATTAAGGATATTGTCACCCTTCGCCTAAAACTCCTTATTTATTGCCTTACATACGTTATTTTGAGTAATAAATAAATCTTCAGTATTCAGTGATTATATAAATAAACATTTACACGTGGCATCTTACGGGTGACGTTATAGTTCCGATTTTGGGGTAAAAACTGAAATTTGTTTTACCTGAACACCCATGATAACCGCCAATTTAATGATATCATTAAGTACTCCAAAACGCTGCCAGCGATTTTTTTTAAAAGTCTTAGTTTAGACTTCATCGTTGATAAAGCAAAATAATACCTTTGTTTAATGAAAATCTGCAATTACATAACTCCATAATAAAAGCATTTAAACCAAAACGCTGGCACGGGATTGTAGTTCATGCCCATGCGGACCACTATGCCTTTTTGTGTGATAAAATCTTGTTTAGGGATGAAATTACGCCCCATACAGATTACTATCTCACCTCATAAAAGAAAGGTGTCAAATATACGATTAAAGCTTTGAGTTGCCTATGCTTATACATTGCACCGAAAAATATAAATGCCGATATTTCATATTTTCAAGAGTTTTTTCATTGTTTTGAATTAGCACAAAGATAGATACATTATTGAATAATTAGATGAAGGAAAAAATCTCATCTTCGGTATCTGGGTGATAATAAAGGGTAACAATGTCCTTAATGTTCTGCTACTGAGTGTATTTCTATAAATATTCCTGTATGTAACTAACATTATGACTACTCTACATAGCAAGACTGTACAGTTTCATGTGACCCTTGAATAATATTGACCGTATTTGTTATATTATTGTTTTCCCCAATTTAAAAGCCACATTTGCATAAACATTAGTATTTTTGTACACAAAAATTGTGATTTAGGGTGGTTTTTACCTCAAAATGACCAAAAATTCCTCTTTTACCCAAATTGAAATATCCCAACATTAGTGATTTATCTATTTTACACTCATTGGTAATAAAATCATATGGTTAGACATATAACAAGCCATATTTACCCTGAACTTCAGAGATAACTTGGCACTAACCTCTTCACTATTTTCATCGTGTCAAGTTACCTCTGACGAAAATAGTTTGACCTAGTTTATGTAAGCCAATCGAATCCATGTTTCAAAATTTTTCACCAAAGTTTGGTGAAAACGTTGATTGGTTGAAAGTCCAGAATTATGTCCAATGAGAAACTTGTGTTTCGTTGCGTCCGCATAACCACAAAAGAAAGCATGGCGTCTCCTACGAGTGACTACGTAAAAGAATGTGTTAAGTTAGCTCTTGATTCTTTGCAAAATATGAGTATAGCGGAATTGAAACCAGAGCAGTTTGAGGCCCTGCATCATTATCTACTCAGGGATGATGTATTTTGCGTGCTGCCCACAGGTTACGTTAAGTCCCTGATATTCAGCCTTATCTTTGATTAGTCCGGAGTTGAACAAAGCGCGCTTTGACTCGTTCGCGTTCATTGGCTAGATCGTTCAATGACTCATTAAGGGCAAGCTTTAAATTTGATTGGCGGGCTGTGCGGGCAATCGAATGTGGTCAGAGGTAACTTGACACGATGAAGATAGGCTCTAGTGAAGAGGTTAGTGTCAAGATATCTCTGAAGCTCAGGGTGGCCATATTTGAACTGATAGTTAAAGATTTACTATGATTTGATGGGCAGTCATTTTGAAAAATCGCTTGATACCAATATCAGATGTAATCTGAAACAAAAAAAACTTATTAGATTTGTATTTAGCAGCCAAAATGACCACAGAATCCACTTGTTTGAAATTAAATTTCCAAAAAAAAAAAGGGTTCATTTGCCCACCCCTATCAATACTGCACCATACAATAGTTTTTTTTTTTTCATGTGATCAGGCTTGAAAATATAACATTTACTGCCCTTACCTAATTTCCTTTACGGTCCGAAAGGAAATTAAACCAAAGTCCCGAATACGATCCTATAGGACAAAAGTTTCCATCGGGATGTCTTACAGAATTCTTATGGTGTCCCATAGAGACCTGAAGCAGATTTATAGAGTCCTGTAGGAGTCCAGTAGCGTCCCACAGAGTCCATAGGACACCAGGATATTTTTTGCAAGGGTGATACCTATTCAAGAACAAGTAACTAGCCAGCAATTTTAAAATATTTTATTTCATCTTAAAGAGTGGACCCTTTCGCTCCATTTCCTTACTTGTGAAATGAAATAGAAACTAGATTAGAAGTTGGAAAGTTTGAAAATATTACATTAGCAGAAGCCACTCACTAGAAAATAAACAAAAGCTAAAAAATGCTCTATTTTAGACAACGCCTTAGTTTCAAAGGAGGAAGCAGATGGCGCCAAACCATGCACTTTAATTGACACTACAGCGAGCCTACAGTCTACAAGTGGAACACTCAGAGGTATGGGTACAAAAGACCCAAATCTTGCCGTGGATGGGAAAGGCAGTGTCTCCGAGCCCTACACTTTGGTTGACACTAAAGAGGGCCTTGAAACTGCACTCAAAACCCTGAAAAGTGTGAGTAAAGAAGGTCCAAATCTTGCCGTCGATGGTGAAGGTGTTGATTATTCCAGAAGAGGAACGCTGTCTTTACTTGCCGTTGCAACAAGAGATCACGTGTTCTTGTTTGATATGATCAAGCTCGGACAAGTCGTTTTTGATCGCGGGCTTCGCGAGATTCTCGAGGATCCTACACGCGAAAAGCTGATGTTCGACTGCCGCGAAGATTCAGATATCCTCTGGCATAACCACCACGTGAAACTTGACGGTGTCCTGGATATACAGATTTTGCAAGTTATGTATAGTAATAGAGATAACTCGGATCTCTCGCCATTTGGTCAAAAACGATGTGCCATAGCACCTTGCGAAAAGGTATTTAGCTTGCTGCATTGCCTTGTGCACTACACTGACGTCGTTACATCCATTAAAATAAATAAATCAGTTGGGTCATTCTTTTTTCTATCAACTAAGAAGTGGATGGACAGACCCTTACCTGCGGACATGATTAAGTACGCATGCGTCGAAGTATCAACCTTATTTGGCCTCTACGAAAAAATGAAAATGAGCAACGAGGACATGAGACGGTTGAAGACTGCATCATCGCGCTACGCCGATCTGAAGCGTTCGCTCACCGTACGCCGTTTTGACGAATTTGAAAAAAATGGGTACCTGCCACTACATATAATACCTCCAAAAGGATATGTTGGCTTTTCGGACTATCAGTCCAATAAAGGCACCGAGTGCACGGGTTGTAAAAGGCGCTTTCCGCGGGAAGCGTTCACTTACACACAGCTTAGAAAAGGAGAACAAAAATGCAGAGTTTGCAGGAAGGTGAAAAACGAAATTGATGTTCAGAGTAACAGAGAAGACAATTGGGCACGTGATTGCTCTGACGACAGTGCTGTATACTACTCCACGGATGAAAATGAGGATTATCCTTACTGGTAGGAGGAACGGAAAAGTGTTTTAATTTTCAGGGCCGTTTGATTGACGCGCAGGTTGTACGTATATGTGTGGAAGCTTGAGAAAGCAAAAAAGCATAGTCTTCTTATATACAGATGATCCTCTACCATGGTCACAGATTGATTTTTTACGAGTTAAATATGTACCAAAACGAGCAGAGAATAAGTCTATACTAAATATATTCCGATTGCCGTTATTTTTTCCCTGAAAGACTTTGCTTGGTATAAATTCAGGGTGAGTTAAAAACAACAACATGATGTGACTATTTTACGGAACGTTATTGATATAGTTGTTTACTGCATGCACTTTGAACGTTCTCAGCATAATTTACTCGTTTCACTTTCAGTTTGCAGCGTTTTTTTTTTAATGATTTACAAGGAAACTACGGGGGGCAGTATGCACGACGGTAGGATGTTGACGTACTTCGTATTAGTATTTTTACAATGTTGTCCCCATTTTTGCCTCTTTGCAACCCCACAAATTGAAATGTGTGCACTGTTTCTTTGGAAATTTTATTTTAAATGTAGATATTTCAGGCGCACACATTAATGTTAAATGTCAACACTATTCAGTGTTTATTATTAGTCTGCTTCATTTCTCTTAGTATTGGGACTTTCAATTAATGCGGCCGTCACCGGCCAAATTTCGAACATCATACTTGAGTTTGTCACATTACTTTATAAGCATGTCGTTATATTCAAATTAGTTAGGATCAAGTAGACATAAAAAAAACTATGCTTTGTTTAGTGAAAGGGCAGGTTGGCTTCAAAAATAAACATGAATGGACCCATGAATGAATAATTTCCACAAATATTGCGTCAATGAAGTATTCAACTTTTTATGTAAAATTGTAAATAGTGTCGGTCAAATGAGGCTTAATAGCAAATAAAATGCAGGTAACCAAAGGAAATCAATAACAAGATGATAGAAATATCGGTAAATGTCAACATATTGAATATGCATTTGTGGTGCTTTTGCCACATCGAACAGAACAACAGAGTAGCCTCTTTTTAATTTTGTTTCTACCACTCAATAGTAATGTTTAAATTTGAAGAAATTATGATTTAAAGGGGCAGTATTGGTAAAATTCCCTATTTTCTCCCATTTAAAACATTGGGTAGTTACCATATTTAATGCCACTTATACCGCTGAATGAATTCACAGACAGCTTCAGTGTTCTTCTTTACATGTAACTATAAAATAATAACAAAATGAAATAAAACTGATTCAATAGATAAATGATATAAATTGTCTGTTTTATTGATATGAAATTTAATGGACTAATATAGTTTTAATACAAGACAAAAAAATGGATGAAGTAAAATAATTATAAAACCTTTCACCATTTATTTCTATCTAAACATTTATGAATTACAAAAACATACCACATCATGGTTTCAAGTGTATCATGCCATTAACCATTCTAGAGTTACTGCACATCTCCATAATTTAAATGAAGATTTCCCTTTTATGTTCACTAACGAGTTCAAAGGTGAAAAAAGCAATAGCCCCATCGATAACGTAACCCCGAAGCATAATTTCATACTTTGTTTGAACAATAAAATTGACTCTATATTCTTCCATTGCAGAAGTTTTTATTAATTTCCTTGTGTTTCGTGGACAATTCAAAGATTTTCCGGTTGGATATTCTGATATCTTGATCCTCTTTGGGTGCTGAAAGTGCAGTTGCTTTTTCATAGGCAGAGCAGCTTGGTGCGTCCGCCATTTTGTTTGCAGTAATATCAAAGTAACTGATTATTTGAATTCTCTTACGGCCATTTCTTACCAAAATTTGACAAATAAATAACTCATTTGAACCGAGAATTAGTTTTTAAAAATATCTAGGTAGGGGTTGCAGAATTCTAAAAACTCGTTACTCTAACTCTAAAACACGATGTTTGCAAAAACTCACCGGAAACGTAAATCGAATTTAGGTCGATCTATTTTTCTATTATTCTACAGGCCCGTAGCCAGGCGGGGTTCTTTTTGCTGGAAAAAGGTCCACTCTAGGTAAAATTTGACCTAGGTACATGCGGATTATATGGTAAAAGGTCCACTTTTTCAGAGAAAGACCCCCCCCCCCCTTTGAAATTGCTGGCTACGGGCCTGTTCTATAACACCTTTTCGAGGAAGGGTTAAAAAGCGGTATAGTATGACGGCATGACTTCCATATAGGGCTGCATTTTAATGATTTTCGGTAAAAACCTATATTGCTTATGTGTAAAATCAATCATTAACACTTTCATACCTCAAATAAAACAATGTAAAAAAGATGTGACGCCAATCTCGTTCAGAGAACAAATCAAAAGGCAACAGGAGCTATATTCTGGTAACTTTTTCTAACCTTGTGATCCACGGGAAGTAAAGTGGCAGTCATAGACCTACACTGTAGCCTTTAGTCGAGCAGCCAGAACGCTAACCCTGCAATGTTTTTTCCTGTAAACTTTTTTCGCTGAAATGCATTCTTTAGGTCGAGAGAAGTAAAATTAGCTTGGTTGCTATTTCCGAGTCGTTTTTTGAGCATTTTTCAATATGGCCGCCAATTTATGAGAAAAAATAGAAAAACGAGCAGAAGTTGCCGGGTAAACTTTATTGACAGCTTTTTTGAACGTGTATCCTATCACGAAAGCACAACAGTACTAGTGAGTACACCTAACCCGTTGCATATAGCAAAAAAGCCAAAATGGCCGTCAAAACATATGGCAGAAAGTAAAACAGCTGCAAAATAAGTTCGTTTTTTTTGGAAATTAAGTCTTATTAAAAACATTTCCGCCTTTTCTATTTATGTCCATTATAATAATTTGTGAGTCGTGATCCTAAACTCTCAGAAATAGCTTATTTGACATTAATCAGATGGTGACAGACGGTGCCATCTCCTGAGAGTCCATTTGCCACTCCGACGAGCCCCATAGTCAAAGCTTGCTATGTTATATCTTGCAAGCTTTTTTAAAAGAAATTGTTTCATCTGGGTTACAAAACTTAGAGAAGCTTATATTACGAGATATTTATAATTTTTCAAAATTCAAGATGGCCGTCAATTTGTTATGTGAATAGCGAGAGCCATACATTCAAATAAAAAAAAGTAATGATTCACTCCATTGTTCATCATTGCATATTTATATTTATATCCATGCAAAGTGCGATCATTTATTTTTTAATTTGCAAGTTATTTTAATAAAAATGGCCTCCAAAACATAATGGAAGGGCAAAGAAACAACTGTAAAACTACAAAGCTTTTAACCGAAATAGATTTTAACTGGAACAAATATAAACACACATGTAAAGTGAAAAACGATATACCTGCGTTCAAGACACAGCACACTTGTAGGGTAGATGTAATTATTCATTGTGTATTTATTGATGACTTAGTGCTCGGGTAGTTAAGATAATGATGAGTCGTAAACTGGGTGTGAGGGGAGTCTGATTTGAGCTATAATGTATGGGCTGTTCCCAACCCACAATCAGGAACCTGGTTAAGTGCCACAACATGCCTGTCTCTGTTAGCGATATACCGCAGCCAGGGCGAGAGAGTGTCAACTCCAGACCAGGATCGCTACACCAGGTTGCATCAGCTACGGGACCAGTTTCGCCATGCCAGTCTTACAGCACAAGAGGCACCCGGTAGGAACAACAACCAGAGCAGCAGCCCCACTGTGCGTCGACACTTGCTGGCGGTCAGCCGGTGGTGGTCGTTGATGGCAACATACCAGTAACTGCTCGTCACTACATAGATCAGATCCTGCAACCTAACATAACCTCGTTCATGCAGCAGAAAACTGATATCACCTTTTCCCAACAGGACATGACCCGTTCACATTCGGCACAAATGATCCAAGTGTATCTGGAGTCCCAAAGGTGGATGTCCTACCCCGGCGTGTCTATTTTCCAGATATGAATCCGATTGGACACATCTGGTACTACATATATCTTGGCCAAGACAGCAGCTGATCGAGGCACTACGACAAGGCTGGAATAGGATTCCACACGACACCATCCCATCCACATTAAGTGCCCGAGCATGCGCCAACAGATCGCCGCCTGCATCGAAGCAAGCGGAGATCGTACCGGCTATTGACCGTTGTGCCTTTGTGTTGGGCTGGTGCCATTTTTGTTCTGAAACTATTCATGAAACTTAAGATTTTTGGTTCTGTATACCAATGTCTTAAACAAATGATTCGTATGAAAATAATCCAGTTTAGAGCTTCAAAATAACAATCATTTTGAATAATATGGCCTCAAAGATTTTAATGGCTGTCAGTATACCTGTATAACCAAGAGATTTGTAAGATGTTTTACTTATTGACACTTTAAAATGTAAAGTGAAAAAGTCCAGTAATAAGAAAAACTAGAAATGTTGTTATATAGGCCTACTGATGAAATATTCTTACACGTGCCAATCTCAATAAAAAGAATGGGATGTTTTAAAGCTTAATTTTATGTCCATACTGAAAAAGTTATGATATAGATATAAAATTAAAATATTAAGGTATGATCAATATAAAAACAAAAACGAAAAAAAAAAATAATAAGGTTAATATTCTGACAAAAGTTAAATTAAATTACACTCATCCCCCTCCCACCCCCCGTCCCCACCAACGGACTTGGTTGAACTCCGTGTAAATATAAGAGTCCCGATTGCAGATTAACATTTTGGACTCCCTGTGCCCAAATTCCACAAGAACCCCCTGTTGGCCTTTGATAAAATTTCTGTATTAAAAAGAGAACTTACGTAATGGTCAGTCCTATCAATGATCCTCTTTTATAGAGTCTTAGTATAACTGTACCTTACAAGTACACTTTGTCAATAAATAACAGGGTTGGATATATTTTATTATACGCCAAATTATCAGTTTAAAACGTAATTTAACTGCTTTTTTATCTTTTTTGGGCATGTTTTAGCGGTCATTTGAAATGCGGAATACCATGCACTTTAAACCCAACTCTTTGCTATGTTACATAATTATTCATTTATAATATAATATAATGATATCATAATATATTTTATATTATTGACGGCCATCTTGAATTTTGAAAATTGATCAATGTTCCATATCTAGCTACTGCCAAGAAAGCCCAAATTAAATTGGCTTTTATACTCCCAAAGTGTTAAATTCTTTTTAAAAATTCAGGGAATATCATTTTAAGTATTTGACTATGGGACCCGGAGAAGTAGCAAACAGACTCTTGGGGGGTTATTGAACTGTCAGATAAGCTTAGTCCAAGAGTTTCGGGTCATGACTAACAAAATATTATAAGTAACATAAATATAAAAAGGGGATATGGTTTTGATAAAAATAAATATGAAAAAAACAAACTGATTCTGCAGCTTTAATCATTTTCTGCCTTATGTTTTGACGGCCATTTTGGTTTGTTGCTAAGTGGTACGCACTTAAGCGTATTCAATAGTACTGTTGTGCTCTCCTGATAGGATACACATTCAAAAAAGCTGTCAATAAAGTTTACCCGGCGACTTCTGGTCGTTTTTCTATTTGTCCTCATAAATTGACGGCCATATTGAAAAATGCTCAAGGTCTCGGAAATAGCGACCAAGCTAATTTTGCTTCTCTCGGCCTGAAGAAGGCATTTCAGCAAAAAAAAAGTTTACAGGAAAGAACATTGCAGGGTTCGACAATTGGGCCTATGGGAGTGGCGACTCGACTACTTGTCAACACATAATATTCAGATTTTCCGGGACAGTGGTATACACTATAAGGTAAGACAGTGAACAAAATAACGCATAGGCATTCCTATTAGATATTAGCGGGGCTACGACTTAGATTTTAAAAGACGTCGGTTTAGTTATGCACACCTTGGACATAATAATGAGTACACACGTTCTTATATCTTCCTTGGGATCTAACTGTTTCCTCTGGCCATTCCACAGTCATCGTTTTTTCCTATCTAGGATTATCGCTCCAAAAATTCACTAAGAAAAAAGGCTACTCACCAAACATTGCCCGGCCCAAACCGACATTTGAATTCGGTGTTTTATTTAATTTCTAATTAAATTATTCAGTTCTAATTGACTGGTTTCCATGTTTTCCTGTGTATTTCAAAAGGAAATATCGACATCAAGTAGCTTTATTTGAGGGGTTTTGTCGTTTTCAGGGACATAGAAGTAGCTTTGCAGGATGTGTAAATGTGTTAGGGATAATGACTGTGGGGAAAATGCTCAGTGGATGGTGGATGGTGCTCAGTCTCATGGTACAGTGTATATTAGACCGAGGAAGGTCACAGAGTAGCAAAGAGTTTTGTAATGTCTGGCTTCAATTTAGTGTAGAAA